ACTTTGACTTCTAACAATGGATAAAGACATAACTCTCGTGATTGGAATTAATATGAAGCAACGTCTAAAATTAGCAGCTATCACAACTTCACGATAGAGTAGAGCAAGCCAGTAATATTTTTACTTCGAGGTCATTATTGTATGCGAGCGGGGCGGGGAGACTTGATTGCAACTGCTGCTGGCTAGTAACTGTTGGTCAGCATTGCACCACCACGGGGCGGGAGTGCACAGAGATATTTTCTCTCTATTATTCATTTATTTATTGACATCAAAACTAAGCGAGCCTTACAGCTTCCCAATATGCTCCTTAGGATAAGTGAAGAAATCGATAAACGACACCATTGAGTAGACCGAGTGCAAGAGTAATGGGAGCCTGCTTGGCCAGCTCTGTTTTTCTCCAAGGAATATCTAATAAGTGCCTTCGACGTGCTTGTACTTAATTATTGGGCGCTCGTATGGATATTGATGCTAATACCGTTTGGTATTTTGGACCAGCCAGAACTATACAATAGCTGTATGGGAAACTGGATCTGCCAATATTTCATGGAATACATCTATGTCTAACCTATGTAACTTCAGACTATATCATCCAAAATCTCTTTTAAAATCCTTACGAGCACATTCCACAGAGTTACTAAATGCAACGATCACCAACTAGTATGTATACTTAGCGCGAGTGATATAAAGAAAGTAAGTTGCAAAAGTAGCAAGCGTTGCGAGTGGTAACTGGAAAACACTTTAGATGACGTTGTTATATTGATGATTCATTATTGGGCTGCTCCAGTTTGGAAGCGCCTTTTAAAATATTGAAACTATAAAATTTACAGACTAAACATTGCTTCGACATGAGCTACAGGCGCAAGAACGAAATTATTGACAATTAGTTCAGTACGTACCTCGTCGTATTCAGTTCATGATCATCATCTCAGCCTGGAAGACGTCCACTGCTGGACATAGGCCTCCCCCAAAGATCTCCACGACGATCGGTCCTGCGCTGCTCGCATCCTTCGCCGAGGCGTATTCAGTTATAGCTTTTAAAAATGGAGTAGTTTGAAATACACAACAATTGCAATGTTTGCCATTTAAATACCAATTTTCATGGATGACCCTTCAATTAATATGACCTGTACTGGTCGTACACCAGTTTCATTACGACTTGAGGATTCTGAATAAAGAATATAAATAATCTTTATTGAAATAAACTTAACATAAACACCTTTTAATATTCATATTTCTTGATTCTACCACTCATTCTTATGGTGTGGTCTAGAAAATCTTTGGGAGTTTCAGACGTTTTTATGTTGCGTTAAACGAAAAGCCATATTACCCCAAATGAATGGGATAAGGTAAATGATGATGGGTAAAAGGAACCCTTTTACCCATCAGATGGGCCATATGGTTGTTTGTCACCGTCATCATTATCATCTGCTTCTTTCTTATCCCATTTATTTGGGGTAATATTGCTTTTGTCTTGCATTTATCCTTGTTCGTAAGTCTCGTGTTTTTTTTTGTCACTATTGTGGCATAAACAAAATTAAATTAATTTTACTACATTATTGAAAAACGTACTTGGTAATGTGTCCACGGAACCCTAGAAGTAACAATAAAGTGTGTAAACAGTTGGGTCGCTGTATATGTATGTATGTATGTATGTATGTATGTATGTCCGGAGCGTGGCGCGCGGATCTCTATTTTTATATGGCGGGCGGTGACTGCTCCTTACCGGTTCACGTTTGTTTCTGTCTATTTGTGTTATGTGCTCTTATAAACGTGTGGCCACATCATTGTATAATGTCATCTTTACTACTCACTGTGGGAACACGGCATACTAGCCGCCGCCCGCGACTTGGGCTGCGCGTGGCCTGGCAGTGACATGTTGAATGACACGTATGAGTATAAATGAAATGCGAAAGTAACTCTGGCTGTCTGTCGGTCTCGCTTTCAAGCCAAAGTTACTGAACCGATTTTAATCAAATTTGGTACACAGATAGAATAGACCCTGAGAAAGGACATAGGCTACTTTTTAATGCGAATACAGGGTTGTAAGGGGTTAAAAGGGGAGATGAAGGGATCAATGAAAGTATCGTCATTTTTAAAACTAGAATCTTGAAACTTATTTTTTAGGCTGTTCATTAAATAAGTATGACTAAGTTTGTAAAATTGTTACCCTTAAGGGGGTAAAAAATAGGGGATGAAAGCTTGTATAGAAAATCGTCATTTTTGAAACTATGCGAGGAATCTTTTTTCTTTGCCTTTTTGGATTAGATTATAAATATTTTTTCTATATTTGGTCAAGGTCACTATAACACGTGGACGAAGTCGCGGGCATAGCTAGTGTTTGATAAGCAATGTTTTAAATATTAAGAAATTAAATGTTTTATTTGTGAAACTTTACTGTAAATGTGGTTTATGCACTGGAATAACACATAGTATAGAGTGTAATTGAAAAGATATTGATGAAGTATAAATGTTTGTATACGGATGTACTCTATTTAATTATATTATGTATGTCTTTACAATAAGGAATCGACAATTCATTCCCACACGCTGGAACCTAAGTGGTCTCGCACAGTGCGGTTTCAAAAGAGCTTCCTCCCGCGTACACTTAGATTGTGGAACGAACTACCTGCCGAGGTTTTCTCACGAGACTACAGCTTGGGGTTTTTCAAGAAGGGTATATTAAGGTATCTGAAGGATCGGCAACGCGCACGTGACACGCCTGGTGTTTCAGGCGTCCATAGGCTACGATAACCATTTACCATCAGATGGGCTTGTATGCCACCATCGTAGTATAAAAAAAGAAATATTTATCTATTAAAAAAAAAATTTAAGTATTTCTATAAGTTGTCAAGCACCCATAACACAAGCTCGTCTTGCCTTGGAAGTAAATGGCGCTGTGTGATTTGTCAAACAAAAAATATATATAAATTGGATACTGTAATAACAATACCAATACTATAATTGTTTAATTATTATTTGCATTCAGCCTATTTTGCTATTGCTCTGTGCCAGTATTAAAAAAAAAGTCATTTTTTTAATCTGTCAAAATTCATGTGATTTTTTAGTTGTTTAAATAAAAAAAAAAATTTTGTTCGCTTATCGCTGAAAGTAATCGTTACAAAGCGACCTAGAATAATGGATTTGGTTGTACAACACAAAGAGCGGCACATAGACAAGGAAAACAAAAGTAATAATAAGAAGAAGGAAAATAGTGTTAAATATAACATGAGTTATATATATATATATATATTTGACGGTCTCGGTGGTCCAGCGGCCAGACCGCCTTATTTCCGATGGTCACGGATTCGATTGTGTGTTTGATGTATCTATGTTTGTATTTACAAAAGAATATATATGTATCAGTTATCTAGTACCCATAACACAAGCTTTAGCTAGCTTAACTTGGGTCTAGACGGCGCTGTGTGAATTGTCCTGAGATTATAGATTATTTATTTATATATATATATATATCTCACAAATACATACATAAGTTAGAGAAAGCGGGTGCACCATTCCATTATAATCCACAAAAAAAATGTAATAGTATCTAAAAAAATGTAAAGTAAAGTAAAGTAAAAGTAACTATTTAGTTTTGATATCGTGGCGTAGAGAGCATGCAACGGGCGGGGCGGGTTGAGGTGAATGTTGCATCGGATGTGCAGTAAGGACCGGTTGTGCGGTCAGCGCCCGGCACCCACACCAGGGACGCCAACTGTAACAGAGTCTCCTCCGGGAATAGGGCGAAATATGATTTTTTTTCTTAGCCAGGTTGTACGTCATTGTACAGCCGCCAGCATCCGCGTCCATATAACTTGAACTGTGAATATTAGACATCTAATCCATACATCTATACATATAAATAAAATTGGAGTGTCTGTTTGCAATATTGAAATAACCGTTTTTTACTACACGCATATGAATAATATAAATACGGTACATACACCAAAATATTTTTTTTTTACAATTTTTGTCTGTCTGTTTGTTCCGGCTAATCTCTGAAATGGCTGGACCGATTTTGACGGGACTTTTTTGGCAGGTAGCTGACGTATAAGGAGTACTTTAATTTTAGAAAAATAAAGTATTTTCCACGCGGACGAAGTCGCGTGTACAGCTAGTAAACAATAAGAGTAATAAAAATGATGACTGTGCGGGTGTCGTACGTGGAAAGTGTTTAATAATATAATAGAAACTTTGAATATAAATCGTAGTATAATATAACGTAATTTAAAATTCAATCGATATCTTACTTTGATTATCTTAAACTGTTGGTGTTTTCCTTTTGGAAAAAATGTGTATATGATCAAAAGAAATAAATAATAATAATCATGTTTGCTGGAGGAATATTGCAATGTTTAATTTCTTTTAATTGAAATAAAAAAAATATTTTGAATGTATTGTACACTGATTTTAATAAGACGCTATGGAATGTTCTAGAAGAAGCGCAAAATGTATATAAAATAACGTTCGTTCGTTGTTCCTGACGTTCCAAATTTGAATTTTTATAATTTTATTTTACATTAAATGGCTATTTGCGATCACAAACAAATCATTTCGCTAGTTTGCAACCGATACGCTTTTTGTAGAAAGTGAGTGTTCAGAACTGTACACAATGGTTGTGGTCATATAGGTTGTATGTTTCTCAAAATTCAAAATATCTTTATTCGTGTAGGTCTATTACAGACTCTTATATGTCAAATATACCGTCAGTTCGGAATGATTTCGAGATGAGAAGAACTGACAAGAAACTCGGCTCGTATTCTTTTCAAATAAATGTTGTACATGTTTACTATAATACAGATACATTTAATTTCAAAATTATGTTCTTTTTTATAAAAAAATAAGTGAATTACAAGTATTATGCAAGACTTATGTTCTTCCGGTACAGTTACCATAACCGACCGGTTTTAGTTCGGCATTCATATTACAATCCACTTGGATCTAGCGAATATTGCTTTTTCAGACTTCTTGCATTTTACTTTTGGATTCCTGGTCCCGTGACAATGTGCCCGGTTGACCTGCATGCAGTTCCCCGTAAAGATCATGTTAGTTAAATCTTAGTGATTTCACCATAATGTGCTACCTGATCTGACTTCAAGCTCATCATCAGCTCATCCTCTATTATTATCGACTGGGTTTCTGTCCGTGTATATCGTTCATAATTTCTGTATCATCCAGTAGAAATAAAGTTGTCGGGAGGAGTCCTGTAGTGGCCAACCTTTTATGAAGATATATTATCAACACTATATGTCTTATCACTTCCACTTATTTAATCTTATTGTGTATTTATATTTGACCCTAATGAATTAGTGCTGGTTGGTAGTTTGTATTCCCACGTATCGACTAGAAAAATGTAAACTTACAAGGATTATTTAAAGGAGCAACACACAAGTTTCTTGCTCGTTCGTCTTGTGATGAGACAGCTTTCCGAATGAGCGGTAGATTAAAAAAATATTTTGTCACGACATATTTTTTTATTACTATTCAAAAGTGCTTAAATAGTAAATCATTTATTCAAATAAACTTATTATTTGAATTGATTTTCTATGATATGAATGATTTTCTATTCTAAACAAAAAAAATTATGTAATTTTTTGTTATTCAATTAAAATGGTCATGTCGTTATTTCTAGTATTCGCTATTATAATGAAGGCTAAATATAGATCGCTTTCCATAACACCTTAGCGGCAACCGATCGATCGATACACACCGAACCTTAAGTACTTTCGTCCTATAAGGTTTGCCTAATATCTTACCGTGTACCAAAGTGTGCGATCTTCGTCTTCCCTTATTATTTATATACTATGCGGATTGACTTAAAAATAAATCTTAAGTAAAAGTTTCACAATTAGTGTCATTATAATTCGAGTCGCAACTTATTAATTCCCTTGTTGCTTGCATGTAAACAAACCTATGATCTTGCTATTTCCCAGTAACGTTTTAGTTATTACTAAAACGTTATTTTTAGTGTCGGAGAACTATGATTGTGTGGTGATGGTGCGCGAGATGACGTGCGGAGTCGGGAAGGGTGCAACGTGCTGGTGGGGAGACGGCGACGGCGCGAGCGCGAGACGAGCCAAGGGGTGCATGTGTCGGGCGGCGGCGGGGGTGGGGCGGGGCGGGGCGCGGGGCTCCGGAGGCTGCGCGGAGGACCCGCGGCCGGCGCGCGCCGCCAGTTCAGTTCACCAGCCGACTGGACCGCCGGCGGCTGCGGGCCGCCTCAGCGATGTTCCATTGCATCGTGCAACCACGACATGACTGGGGAACTTCCGACCTCGCCAATGCACACCCCGGTACGCTCCCGTCACGTTACAACCCCGGCGGCCGCTCGCTGGCCGCGACTAGTTTTATTTTTGTTGTTCTTCTCCGTGATTCTCCATACTTTGGCTGCGTGGTGTACCGTTATGATCTATTAGTGGTCACAAAAACGTCGACACCTTGTTATATGCCAATAACTAATTATAACACCGCTAACCTGTACGTTGGCGCTCGTGATCTTTTTCTCGTTTCTCCGCGGACGTCACGTGTGTCGGTCGCCGGTGCATTTGTTTACACGAATCTTGTTTTAAATTTGTTAACGGTATGTGCCGCGGTATGGTCGAAATGTGTTAAGTGTGCAGCGGGATAGAGTAATGCGTGCTGTGCACCTGTGTAACAGTAGAGCCGAGTGTCGCAACGCCACTAGTAATTGCGGTGTAAACAAATTGTGTGTTGTGCTTTGTTGCGGCGCACAGCGCTGGAGTGCGGGCCGGTGTAGGGCGCCGCCGCAGGTGCGAGTGAGTAGGTCGTATGTAGTGCTAACTACATGCAACACAAAGCAAGTACTCGCAGGTAGCGAGGGGGCGCAGTCTCCACACGACGCAGCCGACGCACCGTCAGCTGCACTCAGCCGAGCGAAACACCCATCCCGTTCCTTTCACAGTTTTTGCATATTTTCTAAAATATCCCAGAGTATTTATTACACACAACACATGTTTTGAGGCAAAATATTTCCACGTTGGCCTCGCTGGTCTACAAACATTCGCACCGTTTACAAACATTCGTGAGTATGATTGTTTGTATCGGTCTGGGTGTTTTCTATATATTTCTATTGTATATTTAAGTAATGTGTTATTATTATTCCCACGATTTTGACATCAATTTATGAACTGGTTACCTACTCGTTGACTCATGCAGGCAAATCAAAGGGGCTGAACATTCGATGGGGTTGCATTGTTTTATTATAATATGTACTAGCGGCAACTTCCCTCGGAATTGAACACTGCATAATGTATGTATTGTATGCGTTGTTCAATGGTCCGATCATATGTACATTATGAACATATGCAGATGTGAGAACATATGCTAATCCTGAACGACCGTGACTGATTTGATACATCCAAACTATGTCATTTTTTTTTAAAAGTTGCACAGAGTTCTTCTCGACATACATACAAATTTTCTCACTGTATTGATGTATATTGGCACAAATAACATAATATATATTGGTATAACTCGGTGGTCCAAGTTATACCGTTGTCAGACAAGCTCTTTGTTGATTGATACGTTGTGTTGTCATCGTGGTTCCTTCAGTGAGCCAACGTTCTTTAGTTACTTGGAAGATAATTATTTTTTGTACAGAAAAGACGAACAGACATGTGTATAGCAAGTAAAATATTTAGGTAAAAACAAATGTTTCCCGGTGGAGAAATATGTATCCTACAGAAGGATATTATTTTTTTGTATTTTTTTCAATCGTTGTGTTACATTCTTAAAAATTTTATTCGATCCCATTTTTAAGAAAATATTCTATCACTTAAGGTCATCAGGGAATAATGTAGGATTCTGATCATTGGTTTCGGAACCTATTCAATGCTAACAAATAACCAAATCTTTCCTCGTAATAATGTTGGTACAGATGTCTATGTGGCTCTCTAACCTCAATCATCCTTGTATTATAACAGAATCCCGAAAGTCAAAATCTCGTATGTACTTCATATTGAAGACCAAGAATCTGGTGCCTGTACTAGGGTCTTCATACGGTTGGCATTCCTGTGTGTAGTCGCGATGACCGACGAGGCATGGCAGCTTTAATAGAGCCCTATATATTATTGTTATATATTATTTTATTACTATGTACATAAACCAGATTCATATATACTTTTATAATTGATCAATCAGTACTCTAAAAGAGATTGATCAATTTCCATGAATTTGTATCTATGTAACATTCGCCGATTCTAATAAGAAACAATCCGCAGACTCCCATTGCTCCCGTGTTAATCCCATTATAGGTCTTAATATGATTGATTTTGTCCCCAAATTATTATTTTAAATATTTTCTATGATATATAAAATATAACACAACACATAAAGCAGAAAAAGAGTCCGTACAGCGGACTCTTTTTCTGCTTTATGTGTTGTGTTATATTTTATAATGAGAAGTTAGAAGTTTGCTTTCGCCTTTAGTTAGCAGAGTTGTACACATGAAGCTTCATTCTCTCTACAATTTGCTGCTGACGGATTCTTGTCTTCCATCCAATCGATTTTCCGTCCAATTCAAACGGGGAACGAAATTACGTCTGAGCCGAGGTTCGAACTTCTAGCAGTGCCCTCAGACTAAAGTCGTATCCGTCAGGCGGGAGTTGGCCTTCAGCTGCTTCATAAGTCCTTCCTTTGGTTTGGAGTGCCATCTGCACTCGACCACTATCGTCCGGTGAAGCTGTAAAGGCCAGCTGCGGCCAGCAGCGTTAAAGTAATCCGACAAAAAAAAGGATTCTTGACATTTTTTGTCGTTGATAATTAATTAATCAATCGACTTAATTAACATGAATGCATAATGCATAATCTATAGTCATTATATATGCCAATAATTCCAATGACGTGTTTAATTTAATAATCAGAATGATATAAATATATTTAATATATAAAAATGTTCACGCCTGTATGCAGGCTGAATACACTGGGCGTTATATTTAATATTGTATACAACTATAAGTACTGTATTCTGCGAATAAATGATTTGATTTGAATCACCTTCATTTTCTTATCGTGGAATATTTATATCAGAAGGGTAAACAATATCATCCGGTATTTAAAGCATAAACTATAACAAACTGTGATTATCTAGTTACACTATTTATAATTTAACAACGAACAACTGAACAACTGTGTCAGACTGTGCCCATTAGCACAATAACAATTTAAATATGCATAGGAAGTATTATCGAAAAAAATATGTCTGTACTGGTGTTCTTATGGGACACAGTTACCTAGATACATCAAAATTATAATTGCAATTAAATTGCCTAGTAAGATAAACTCAATATTGTGCACTAAGCACTGCTGTGTTTAAAATGTGTCACTTCACTTTACATTTTCCTATTGTCATTTAGTATATAAGATCAATATATTTATGTACATATTGTCAGTCTATTATCATCTGTAATATACATCGTCTCTACCAACAACATAGTATTATTACCCCGCAACATTCTCGTATTGCTACTAGTTGTTCCGCGCGACTTCGTCCGCGTGGAATTTACCTTTATTTTTCTAAAATAAAAGTAGCCTAAGTTACTTCTTATTACATCAGCTACCTGCCAACAAAAGTTCCGTCAAAATCGGTCCAGCCATTGCAGAGATTAGCCGGAACAAACAGACAGACAAAAATTGTAAAAAATGTTATTTTAGTGTATGTACCGTATTTATATTCATATGCATGTAGTAAAAAACTGTTATTTCAATATTACAAACATACACTCCAATTTTATTTATATGTATAGATAGAACGACTGAACGAGAAATGAAAACTGTAAGGCAGGCTCGAATTATTATAGATTTTTAAATCCGTCAATATGTATGTAGCAGTTTATGTAATGAAGCTGGGAGATCATTTATTGTAATTCTGTGGTAACATAATATCCTGATAATTGTGACGCATGCTCGTTTCCAGAGATGTGTTTTGTTTGTTTGTGGCTTGGTCTGCGCTGTCACAGTTAAAACAATCTCATACCTACTCGGTGATATGTTAGTCATTCATAAACCGTAAACAAACAACACAGGGCATGCGAACCTGAACGGTCTGACCTATTTAATACCAACCACCACACCAACTGGTCTTTTTTATTTATCTGTCGCTTCCTTTGCAGCGGCATCCTTTTTTTATATCCTGTACATGTTTTCCTAAAGTTTTTTTATACTATCCTTATACTACTTATTGTATGTACATGTAATACTCTAATTAGAGGGAAAGGTGATTGTTAGTAATGTGGATTGATGTTCTTATTGCTAGCAATTACAATGTCAGGTCCTCCACGCGGTTCCCCTGGAAACCATCGTCATCAATTCCTGGTGAATTTGACACAATGGGCTAAATAACCTGACCTCATGTTCACCCTATCATCCTCCACTGATGCCCGTCCAGCGTAAATCGTTAGCCCAGGCGGGAGCATTATTTCATTGTGATCTACTAAAAAAAACCTAATCTACATCTATACATATAAATAAAATTGGAGTGTCTGTTTGTAATATTGAAATAAGCATTTCTTACTTACGTACATATGAATATAAATACGGTACATACACCAAAATAAGATTTTTTATGATTTTTGTCTGTCTGTCTGTCGGTCAGTTTGTTCTGGCTAATCTCTGAAATGGCTGGATCGATTTTGATGGGAATTTTACTGGGTGATGTTAAAGAAGTAATTTAAGCTACTTAGAAAAAATATTTTATTTTAGCAAAAAAAAAGTTAAATTCCACGCCTAGGAAGTCGCGGGTACAGCTAGTTATATATAAATATTTACACTACTTATTCTTATCACTTATTGTTGTTGTAAGGACTCCTGTTGCATACTCTAAAAATATTTGTCTATCATATGTACCTAATATTAATTTTGGGTAAATTTTCATAATGTAATCTTTTTCTGTTAAACATGTGTATTCCGTTATAACATGTATCACAGACTGCGGACACACCAAGTGCTGTAATGTAGCTTTTTTTCGAACTATTCCAATGCTGTTGGCCGTTACACTTTCACGGGAAGCTATGGCATTATTATTAGGACTCAACAAACAAAGGCAATTCGATTCATGTTACAATCTTTAACAATTTTCTTAGTATTTTATTATTTAACTTAGAATATTTATTGCTTTACACAATTACCTTATGTTTATCCTATTAGAATAGTCTGTTTTGATCCGTCATACTCGTGAACGGGTGCTGCTTGTGAACTGTGGGCTAATTATGTAACTTCGTTCGCAACGATTTTCGTATGTAACGTAGTGAAAATGACGTCAATAATGCGATCATATAGACGCCATTTGACGCTGTCAACTAGCATTGCAACGTAAACGCAACTTTACATATCGATAAAAATTATTTCTATCGAATGTCGATTTAGTAACCTCGTTGCAACGTCACGTAATCGCTATTTTGCCGAAATGACAGCGTGGAATTGAAACGGTTTTTACATTATGAGAAACAATTTAGAAGGTGTTTCTTTTGGTTACAATCTTTAAAATATCATCATTAGCAGCATTATTTATCTTGTTTTGGTAAATTTCAGTATTACATATATTTTTATTATATTAAATATTACGTAGAAAGTCGTGAAAAGGTTTTAAATTTATTAAAATGGGAAAATTGTCACGACTCACAACACGACATCAGTGTTGCCAATTCGATATTTTATTTTCGTCCCAAATCACATAGAATGTTGTATTAACTAGAGTAAATGTTTAATATAAAATTAGGGTTGATTATGATATTAATATAATTAAAAAACTATTTCAATGAATACGGTGCTCTGTGAACGGAATACAACGTTTATGATGCTCTGTGATTTGTTTAAAGTAAATAAATTTATTTGTTTAAAGTTTTTACAATTATGTACAAATTTAAAAAGATGTGCCCATATCATTTTAAATTTATATGGATACCTACGTACTTACCTAGGTATCTATAGCAGAAAAGAAAATTTAATTTGTAGGTTAGATTAATATTATTAATGATTATAAATAGTTTGTATAAAATATGCTTTTATATTCTAAATTATTAACCTTATTTTTTCATTAGAATAGAATAGACTTTCTTTATTTTATTTTATTAAATGTCTATTAATAAAATTAAAATAAAAGAACAAGTGAACGCTGCAGTATATTTTGTAATTTTTGAACGCAATAAAAATTGTTTCAAATCAACCAACTAGTGTAACAACCCAATAAATTAAAATGTATCCCTCTGAAGGTATAAGCTATCTAATGTACTGACTTTTTAAATTGGTCGGATTAACAATATTCCGCTGCAACTTCATAGTAGTGTTTTATCGATAGAAATGATTTATGTTGCGGTCATTCGACCTTACTTGATCGCATTTTTTAAATTGAAATGATTTCATATTGCATCACAACTTCAACAGAAACAATTTCATATCGTGTTACATAATTAGCCCACTGGTCTGTTCAAGTTACGAACACTAATTAGACTATTTGCTTTTGCAATGCTTGCTTGTGAGTATTTGGTGTACTGAAGAAATGGTATGTGTGAGCGTTATATGGACGCGGAGCGGTGGAAAATATACTTACGGCTGTACGGTGACATACCGTACAAAGGGTTTTATTTAAAAGAGTGTAATAAGGTTTCACACTTAATGTTTATGTCGACATACACTGCGGTCTTTGTTTTAAATCAGAGTGGCCCAGAGTTTGTCATCAGTGTTGTAGTGTAAACAATGTAAAAAACACAACTGACTAGTACTGACATGATCAGACTCTGTCTTACTGCTTGAATTAAAAAGAAATATATATTTATTCATTTACGTATGTATATAACTATAATATATATGTATTTATTTCGATAATTTAACATCCCCTCCAGAGGAACACATTATACAATTAAAACTTTGGCCGTATCAAATCGCGGCTGAAGTACTACATAATATATTTATAATACAAAAAAAAATGGGATAATAAAAACAGTAGAGAAACAAATAAATTTAATAAAAAAAAATTGCTAATTACGCGACTTCAATTAAGGAAACATATTTTGAAGCACGCTCTGTGCGTTCTATTGTGATACATGGGAACGCGCGGTGAGTTTATTAACTGCAGTAAGACGCAAAAAAACTATGTAATCGAGATTTACGATCTTATTCTATTGTAAGTCATACGAAGTAATTTAATTCAGAAATCATTTATTCATGTAGGACATTTTAGCCGTTGATGAACGTCAAATTTGTTACATTATAATTTTTTCCCTACCGTATACCTAATACACTAGAATACTAAAATAGAAGAAGATACTAAAATACTATCCATTTAGTAGAGTTGGAGATATGTTTCTTTGATGACGATCTCTTTCTCTCTCTGTTATCCTACTATTTAAAGATTTGTGGTGTCTGTGCTACATTATAAAATTTTATTAATTTAATAAATGCGAAAGTTTGTTAGTATGGATGCATGTTTGTTACTCTTTCACGCAAAAACTACACAACGGATTTTGATGAAACTTACAGTAACATAGCTTATACATCGAATAAGATATTATTATCATTATATAGTATAAAACAAAGTCGCTGTCGCTGTTTATCCGTCCCTATGTATGATTAAATCTTTAAAACATCGCAACGGATTATTATTATATTAAAGCAGTTATTTTAAATAGATAGAGCGACTCAAGAGAAAGGTTTATATATATAATACATGTACACCCGTGCGAAACCGGGGCGAGTAGCTAGTAGGCTATAATTTAAAAAAAATGTTACTTAAATTGGGCGATATATATAACGATAAATGTGATGCAGACGAAGTCGCGCAGGTCAGCTAGTCTTCTGTATTGCAATAAATGGTAGAGTATGTCCGCGGCGGCGGGGGGTGGCGAAGGTGCGGCGGGGGGGGCGCGGGGTGCCCCGGTGGCCGTGTCGGCCGGCGCGGCGCGGCGCGGCGGTGGTCTGCTGCTCCCCTCGCCGCATCACATCGGGACCACTTAACTAATAACGGACCACGGTGTATTGTTTTGATACGCTATCGCAGCTATAAAACGGTTTATATTATTACTTACTAGCAGGGCACGCGGTTTCACCCGCGTTCACGGATCGGGCTGAAATTTGGCATGCAGGTTGATGTTATGACGTAGGCATCCGCTAAAAAAGGATTTCGATTAATTCAAGGAGATAAAATAGGGAATTAAAGTTTGTATAAAACTTTGTCAATTTTAAACCGGCTGAGACTTTGCATGCATAAAGCTACTATGATTTTGAAAAAATTCTACCCCTAGGGGAATAATTTAATGTGAGCAAAGCCGCGGGCAAAAGCTAGTAAAAGGTAGCTTATGCATCAGAGTAACATAAAGGCTTTATGTTACTCTGGTGCATAAGCTATATTACTGTAAACTTTCATTAAAATCTGTGGTAGTAATTTTTGTGGGAAAGAGTAACAAATATCTATACATAGTCATAATATTTCGCGTTTATAAGATTACTACCTACTCGCCCCGGCTTCGTCCGGGTGTACATATATTATACATATAAACCTTCCTCTTGAATTACTCTATCTATTAAAAATCGCTTCAAAATCCGTTGCTTAGTTGTAAAGATTTAAGCATACATAGGGACGGACAGACAGCGACCGCGACTTTGTTTATGCTGTGTAGTGATTAAGATTAGATAGACTCGTACGTACTATGTACGGGAACGAGTACACAACTGTACGGGCAATTTCTATATAGGTAGCTGAAATAATTTAAGTTAGGACCTACTATTTTATTGTTATTTTAAACTTAAATTATTAAATGGAAATAGTAGGAAACTGAAGTATTCATGGGGATTGCATTACATCATTTAAAAAAATTGGACGGTGTTCGGGGATTGGGATCGAATTTCTTTTTGTCTCTTCGCAAATTGATAAACTTTTCAAAACTTTACTCAACTTCATTATATATAATGTTATCAGGTATCTCTGTATGTATGTAGGTCTGTATCGATCCATCGTGTCCATTAAAGCATGTAAAAATAAAAGCAATACTTTATGATGTTATATTTTGTTTGTTATGATTTTAATTCTAGTTTAATTTATAATTAGAAGTGACTGTAAGTACAATAGACTCGATCATTACCGTATTGTACCGTAACGCGTTGCAGACATCCGGCTGCAGCTGTCGGAGCAGACGCGCGTGCTGGAGGCGCGCGCGGAGGCGGCGGCGGGCGTGGCGGGCGAGCTGCACGACTACTGCCGCCGCCGCGCCGACCTCGAGCACGACTACTCGCGCGCGCTCGACAAGCTGGCGCGGGCGGCGCTGCAGCGGCACAAGGACCAGAGGCACAAGTACTGTATCCTCGTCGCATACCACGTCGATGTACGTAGACGACGCCGCGAGGTACGGACGCTAACGTGAGGTGTGTGCGGGCGCAGGCGGGAGCAGTGGCCGCTGACGGGCGCCTTCACGTGCTGGCAGGCGGCGCTGGACAACACGCGCGCCCTGTCGCGCGACCACGCCGCGCTGGCCGAGCTGTACGGCGGGCCGCTCGCCGCGCGCCTGCAGCGAGCCGCCGACGACGCGCTGCGGCTGCACCGCAAGTGTCGCGACATCGGTGAGTCGGGTCAGGTGCGGCGCTCGGCCTAGTGGTCGCGGTGGCGGTGACGGCACGACGGCCGAGCGCTCAACGTGTGCGTGTGCAGTGGCCGAGCGGCACGAGGAGCTGGGCGCCGCGCTGGCGGAGGCGGGCGCCGCGGGCAAGGCGCACGCCGCCGCCGCCGCCGACTGGCGCGCCGCCGCCGCCAAGCTGCGCGCGGCGCACGACCAGCGCGCGCGCCTCGCCGCCGCACACACGCCGCGCACCAAGAAGCTCAAGGCGCTCGACAAGGAGCTCGACAAGGTATCCGCCACCTCCACTCTCCTTTCGAGATCCAATACTTACATATTATATTTGTACTCTATGGATTTTGTTACGTTTCTAGCGACGAGCTCGACACAGCGAAGCTCGGGCCCGCGCGCTCAAGACGCGAGCGGATTACATTCTCAGTCTAGAGGCGGCGAACGCGACGCTCCAGAGGTACTATCTGGACGACATAACGGAGATAATGCTGGTGAGTGAGCATCCGGGGCGGGGACGGGAGGAGGCTCGGCGAGGGTCCCGGACTGACGGGCGGTGTTGCGTGCGCAGTGCTCGGAGGTGGGGTTCGAGGCGGTGGTGGGGCGCGCGGTGCGGGCGGCGGCGGCGGGGGAGGGGGCGCGCGCGCGGGCGGCGGGCGCGGCGGCGGGCGCGCTGCTGGCGGCGGCGGACGCGCTGGACGCGCTGGCCGACCGCCGCCGCGTGCTGGACGCGCACGCCGCCGCGTTCGCGCCGCCCCGCCCGCTGCCCTACCAGGGCGCGCCGCCCGCCCAGGAGGACGCCGAGCTGCGCGAACTGCTGGGCGGCGCCGACCGCGGGCCCGACCCGGCCGCCGCCGCCGCGCACGAGGAGCTCGCGCAGCGCCTCCGCCAGCTGGAGGAGGGCGCGCGGCGGCTGCGCGCCGAGTGCCGCGAGAGCGCCAAGACGCTGGACGCGGCCGAGGCCGAGCTGGTGCGGCAGATGGAGGGCGGGGACGCCGCCTGGGAGGCCGCCGCCGACGAGCCGGAGGCGCCGCGCCGCGACCAGGAGGACTACTACCTGCACAAGTTCCGCGCCTACGTGGCCAGCGCCGGCCGCCTGGCGCGGCTCGAGAGCAAGGCGGCGGCGGCGCGCGCGCGGCTGCTGCCGGCCGGCGCCGCGCCCCCCGCGCCCCCCGCACCCCCCGCCGACGCGCCCCGCCGCGCCGCGCGCCCCCGCCGCGGCCAGTTCGCGGCGCCGCTCGACCTGCGGCTGCCGCTCGTGCTCACCTCCTGCGTGCGCGTCATCGCTACCTACGGTGAGTACGCCCCGCCCCCGACCCCGCCCCCGCCCCCGCCCCGACACCCACTCACGGCCGCGTTCGCTTGCAGGGCTGCACCACCAGGGCATCTTCCGCGTGTCGGGCTCGCAGGTGGAGATGCAGGCGCTGCGGGCCGCCTTCGAGCGCGGCGAGGACCCGCTGGCGCACGTGCGGGACGCGTCCGACATCAACTCGGTAACGTTTATTTATTGTGTCGCTCGTGCAGCACTCGAGCGCACTCGGTGAGTCGTGCGACGGATACGTGTAGCCGCCTCAATAATTATTATTTAAGATCATGTATATGTATATATTTGTATAAATTCACTATTTGTTACTGTACTGTTATTTGTGAAAGCCTGTCAGTGGCTTAGTATAACGTTTATATTGATTTTATTTAGGCATAGTCAGCCTCGGTTTTCTTTTAATAAATAAATAAATAAGTATGGTCGAATCGCCTGTCACTCTCGTAGTCGAGCGCTCGGAAGGACTGATTCGTTTTAATTTATGAAGAGAATAGTGAGGTTGTAGCCGTGCGCGTGCGGGCCGTTGCAGGTGTGCGGGTTGCTGAAGCTGTACCTGCGCGAGGTGCGGCCGCCGCTGCTGTCGCCGCAGCTGCAGGAGCCCCTGCTGCGCGTGGCGGCGCTGCAGTCGGACGCGGAGTTCGTGCGGCGACTGCGCGAGACGCTGGAGACGCTGCCGCAGCCCGCGCTGCTGGTGCTGCGCTACCTGTTCGCGTTCCTGGCGCACCTGGCGGAGCACAGCCACCGCAACATGATGGACGCGTGGAACCTGGCCATCTGCCTCGGGCCCACGCTGCTGGCCGCGTGGGGCGAGGGCGGCGCGCAGGTGGCGGCGCAGAACCTCGTCAACGAGCTCGTCAAGCGCACCATCCTGCACCACGAGCAGGTGTTCCCGCAGGACGTGGCGCCGCACGCGCTCTACTCGCCGCCCGCCCCCTCGCCCCCCGCCTCCCGCCCCGCCACCCCCTCCACCCCCGCCACCCCCGCCGCCCCCACCACCCCCGCCGCCCCCGCCGCCGCCGCCGAGTCAGCAGACCAGGTCGACCTCTCGCTCTACGACGACGACGACGACGGTGAGTCGCGCGCGATCATTGCGCACTTTATAAATCGATAAACCATAAATAAAATACGGAAATAGACGACAACAGATATTGGTCTAATATGTAATATATTATAGACAGAGATTTTGACCGGATTGTTAGAAGGCAGCTCGCTCCTAACATTGGTTTAACAAGGGATGTAACGCAGCAAAATTACAAGGTACAACGACAACACTATAATGTGGCTAATAACAGCAACGCGCCAGAAATACTGCGGGCGTTACAAATTGCTATGTATATATCGACGAGAGAGATGCCTACTGTGGCAAAGATTTTTCTAACACATAGGAATATGACTCGATTAAATATACGTAGAAAACATTGTGATCCTGTCAAAATTTTAAATATCCAGACGTGATGCGACGGGTCATGGGGGTCCCTATAAATATGGTTGAGCGCAGTGATGACTGACTCACCCGTGAACTCTCTGCTCTGATGACTGATTTATTTTCTTACGATTATTTGTTTACTTACGTTAAATTTGCTATTTGGCAGTTTATTATTAAACGTGTAAAGCCGAACAACAGTTATTTAAAAGGGCAACACGCAAGTTTAAATCACGTTCTTCTCGTAACGATGTTTTCCGTTCTCAATTTGCAGATGAAACTAGTGAAGACGGCGAGAGTGGGGAGTGGTGCGAGCCCAACGGCACGGACCACTACAGGTCCGTATACCACCAACTTACACTGTTTTTTTATACTACGATGGTGGAAACAAGCATATGGTCCATCTGATAGTATATGGTTATACTCCATAGGGTTAACGCCTGAAACATGTTTTATTAGTGTGGGATTGTAATAGTAGTGGTAGTACCTGGCCGGGCGCTATATTACGACTATAGCAGAAGACAAATGAACCACAGCTAACATAAAGGATGCCTTTTTAATTATAGTCTGCTTTTTAATCCCGGAGACTAAATTGACAGATGTAAATGTAAAATTTTCTAATAATGTTACCAGCTGTAGCGGAGTAGTGGTGTACCTGCGATACCGATTTGATTAATCGGAAACTTTTATTTTAACATATTAGTTTTAAAGTTTTACATGACGTTTCCACAACAGCATTTTAAAATGTACGTGCATCTACTAGTGTTTCCATTACTGTCGTCGTGTTATACAACATAAAAATACATTTTTGTCGTTTCCGTACAAATAGTAATTTTTACTGTATTAACATTTTTTTTTCTTTCAAACAGCAAAATATTTTAAATGTGATATATGACACAAACAAATGACCTTTTTATAAAAGGTCATTTGTTTTATCAAAAGGCAGTTAATCGTTATTTTAGTGAAAAATATAATCCTATTTTGATACAATAATCATATACCTGTAATTTCTTAATTTCGTGTAAATGCGTTTTATATAAATACTCACACATTATTTCCGAATAACCTATAAAAATTGGTAATTAATATTAATTTCCGATCGTGCCACAACCCTATTTAAAAAAATGCAAAAACCTGGCAACATCGCAAACGTCAAATTTTTCTCTGGGATTAAAAAACAGATGTTAGTTGATATATAAGTGTTCAGTATTGTAAATTGTCTGCTGATTGTGTTAACGCTGCTTTTAGTTTGATTTGGCAGAAGTGGAGTTTTGTATTTAATTTTAAGTAAAACGACGTCGTCTCTACTGTTGTATTGTGGCACAACTGCACCTATGTTCCCATGTAGACCACTGTCTATATGCGGCTATTGAGATATTGAAAAGTAATTTTTTTTCTCCTTCATTTAAGTTATGGGACACAGTCACCTAGATACATCAAAATAATAATTGCATTTAATAATGTCTAGTAAGACAAATTCAATATTGTCTACTAGGCACTGCTGTATCTAAACTGTGTCACCCCACCTTACATTTTCCTACTTTTATTTAGTATATAAGATCATTATTTCTATGTATACATTGTCAGTTTATCATCATCAGTAATATACATCGTCTCGACCAGCAACATCGTATTATTCACCTGCAACAGTGGTGACCCCGACGTGATCTGGCCGACGTGGTCGAGACGATACCTGGGAAGACGACGAGATCAAACAAGAGATCTCTGTCTGACGGCATCCTGCGCACCACCAACGATTGCACATTTCCACCGGCTTCCCAGAAGCGGGTCTCACCGGCTCGGAAATTCAAGAGGCATAAAAGTCGTTGGCAATACTGCGCAACAAGGATCCTGCCGTGCTACTGACCCCCAGTAAACACAACTGCCTGCTGGATATAATCTCTGGACGAAAAATTGAAACTGGAAAAATAAAGCAAAAATGCTGTCTACAAAAGTACAACCAACAGTCACCGCCGACGTCATTGCACACCTGTCGTCACTAATTGCGACACTGCGATCAGAAATTGCTGATATACGCGAAAAGCGCTCGCCACACACAAACAGACGCAGCAACTACCGATCTAGGTCAAATTCGCACCTACGGTCATTGCGTAGTCAGAAAAATGAGTATTATTTATATTATATCATCGCAAATATAAAGAAAAGGCATACAAATGTGACATGCCGCGCTCCTATAGACAACCGTCGGAAAACTAGATTCGACGCAGAATAAGACGGAACGCTATGCTGTTCATCCGTCTAACCGCCTAGCTATAACCGACTCTAACAGTGGCTATAGAATTTTGGTGGACACCGGAGCAAAAATCTCGATGAATAAAAAACAAGCACAGACCAAAGAGAGCGCTAGCGAAATCAAACTATTCGCCGCAAACAATTAATATGAGCAAATGAGAGTTCTTCACAAATGAATGTTAGATTTTCTTGGTTATCATATAACGAGCCAAGGGATGAAACCAACGCAAGAAAAATGGCAAGCAATCGACGAGTACCCTAAACCCACGACAGTCGAAGATTTACGTCGTTATTTGGGTATAATGAATTTTTATTGTTACTAAAGTGGATAACGTCTTAAATTTTACAGTTAACTTTTATAATTTTTTTTTGTGTGTAATATATATACTTTTTTTCTCTCAAGGGGGAATATCTATGGGACACAGTCACCTAGATACATCAAAATAATAATTGCATTTAATAATGTCTAGTAAGACAAATTCAATATTGTCTACTAGGCACTGCTGTATCTAAACTGTGTCACCCCACCTTACATTTTCCTACTTTTATTTAGTATATAAGATCATTATTTCTATGTACACATTGTCAGTTTATCATCATCTGTAATATACATCGTCTCGACCAGCAACATCGTATTATTCACCCGCAACATAAGTCAAAGTGGACTTAAATGTTTATGTATGGAGAGATCCGTGTTGAGTATTACACAGTATTATTAATTATTTAATATAATGCATGTTTCAGAGCGGGCAGTGTGGAGCGACAGCAGCCGTCGGTCTCCTCGCAGGTGATAAGATTATTTAACTTAGCAACGTGTTTTTTGCATTATTTAAGTAATTCGTATATCGTATGGGCTAAATATAGATGATATTATGTTGCATGTAACAGTTATTAATTTTGTAATTGCTTAGTTTGTTGTCATAATTAGTACTTAAACTTCTAGTGTTATTATTATTATTATCGTTATTAATGCTCAAAATTGTATAAACTTTTGTATTTTCCAAAAAATGGGTTCTAAACATTTTAGTTGTCGAATAAGCGAATATTGTTATAGAATAATAATGCACCTAAACTCGATGGTTAGTTTTAATTTATAATCGTCGGATGAGACGTTAACCCTCTCGAGTTAAAGTTTGCATTTGATCGTCGGCGAAAGGTTTCAATGAACAAACAACGTGGTCGCAGGTTGCGAGTCCGGAGGCGGTTGCGGCGGAGGAGCAGGAGGAGGAGTCGGAGGAGGAGGAAGAGGACGAGGATGAGGAGGAGCAGCAGCAGCAGGAGGAGGAGGGCGGCGCGCGGGACGCCGCACCCGACCTGGTGCTGGGGCTCCCGGCGCGGACCGCGGACACGGCCGACACCTTCCTACACAACACACACACGCTGAGGAAGAGGCACAGGTACACCATACACGTCACTACACCGTACACGTCATAAACCTGATGACGACAATGATTCTTTTTGAGAAAATTACTATTATTTGTCTCTGGATCGATTTCGTCAATTCAAATTAAAAAATTATATATTCAGTTAGGATATTGTAGTCGCTTATGAACGTCAAATTTTTTTAATTATATATTTTTTTGTTTTTATGCAGTTCAGTATACAGATCCAATTTAAAAGGACTCGCAAGAAACTCAATTGAACTACTTATTTTTTTTAATAGTCAGTCGGTTTACAATGTATATCTTAATAAGTTATGACTTTCATATTTCAATGACGACAACGCCTCCATTGATATTTGCGTCTCTAGATTCTGCAATAGGAATATCTTTCACATGGAGCAGTAGTATATTTATCAATTATATAATGGTATCGTCGAATATTTATAGCATCTTCGTCGTGTGCAGGTCCGCGGAGGCGAGGGAGGCCCCGGCCGCGGCGGAGGCGGCGGGCGGCGCGGGGGCGGGGGCAGGGGCGGGGCCGGGGGCGGGGCCGGGGGCGGGGGGCGGCGCGGAGGGCGGGCCGGGCAGCCCGGTGCCGGCCCGCAACACGATGCGCGTGGCCGCCAAGTTCGCCGACCTCACGCTCACCGGCGGCTCCAAGCCCGCGCTGCTGCGCCGCCCCACGCCGCACCCCCACCGCCCCGCCGCCCCCGCCGCCGCCCCCGCCCCCGCCCCCGCCCCCGCCGCCGCCCTCGACGACTCCGTCTAGTCGCGCGCCGCCCCGACGACAGCTGCGTTGAAACTATTTTTGTCGCGCGACTTGGTCCGCCGCCGACGGCTCCGGCGAACGAGTCGACGCGATCCGAACCGACGCACGACACTTGTCCGTCGTTCGACTGTTCGATCGATCGACGCCGGCCCGGCGAGTGCCGCCCGAACTGAGATTCTATATACATAATGAATACTCTGTGGTTTTATATTCTATATACTGTATAAATACTATTATAGACGTGTTATTTTTATACGTGACGTAGTTCGCCGCGACGAGACGCAACAGCACAATAAATAAAATATATATAGACATATTGTAGCCGCGGCCCGCTACCGTCCCGCTACCGTCCCGCCGCTGGACTTGAATCTCCCGGAACGATTCGGTTCCCGACACCGTCGTACGATTTTAGTATAAAGTTTTTCTTTCTCGATGTATTTCCATTATATTTCTAAAATATGAGCCTGTTCTGGCATTAATTTGATCTGATGACGTTGCATTGCGTGGATTCGCATTACTTTAGGTATAGTTTTAAATAGTGTAACAAATACAACATGCGTAACATTAATTCAGAATTCATAAAATTCTATTAGTGTCCACATGTACTAAAACCGTAGCCAACATTACTTGACCAGGTGATGATATTGAGCCATTAGCAAAATGTGTTGAAATTCGACTTGATTCTTGAACCTCCTCTCTCTGCACATTTTCTTGCTCTCTGTGCTCGGATTCATTCGTTTGATTTAGTTCCATATTAGACGATGAACTCGAATTTCCCTCAGGGTGCAGTAAAGAGTGATGTCGCCGTCCGCAACGCCTACAAGTGGTACGTCTCTTACATCGGCTCACTGGATGATTACTTCCAAAACAGTTGAAGCATAATTTATTTTTCTGAATAAATTCATGACGACTTTCATAACTCTCATTACAAAACTTTTCACATTGGAATAATAGATGACTTTCTTTACAAAAGGAACAGGAGATTGCGGTGACACTAAAAACTTTTGGTCTCTCTACTTTATCATCATTTCTCTCGCTATTATGAAGACATTCCATAGCCAAAAACCTGCATTCTAGGAATTTATTGAATTCCTCTAACGTTGGTAATATGTCTGAGTGGTCACTGATTGATCAGTACGATCATTTACTTGATTTACTTGATATAAAGAAACTACAAGTTTTTGAATCGTTTAATGTTCACAACGTTTTTTCCAGAGAGAGATTTTGACAATGACGCAGAAAACAATGACAACACTTTTAGTGTTGCCAACCTTGTCTCCATTTTAGGCGTGAACATCCTCCGGCCATTGAAAGAGTTAACTTTCAATTTCTTCAGTGTCTTCCACAGGTAATTTTACAATGTAACGAACGGCTCGCCGTATCGTTCCTCTCGCAGTGTAGATATCCACCACTCGACAAATGTTATCTGCACCATGATGCAGCTTCGTTACACGACCCAGCCGCCAGCTCTGGGGTGGTATGTTTTCATTTCTTAACAGCACCATATCTCCTACTTTAGGATCTCCGGTTCCTGATTTCCACCTTGTTCTCTGCTGCAACTCAGCAACAAATTCTTTGCTCCAGCGTTCCCAAAAATGCAATCGCAGTTTCTCTATCATGTAGAACTTGGAATTAGCTTCCTCTGCAGCAGCATGAGGCAGGGACGCCAGTGGTCGACCGATAAGAAAGTGCCCCGGGGTTAAAGGATTTAGGTCCAACGGGTCGGAAGATAAAGGAGAAAGAGGTCGAGAATTAAGAATAGCTTCTATTTGGGTGAATAGAGTGGACAATTCTTCAAAGGTTAGGGAAATATTACCTGCAACTCTCTTTAAATGATATTTGGCTGCCTTTACGCCCGCCTCCCAGACGCCTCCAAAGTGTGGGGAATAGGCTGGACTAAATTTAAAAGAAATTCCTTCAGAGTTAGCAAAATCTATTACCGAATCACGACTGGAGCGTATAATCTTACCTAGTTCATTGTTTGCCCCCACGAAGTTGGTGCCATTGTCGCAATAAATTGTTTGAGGTTTACCTCTACGCGCAACGAATCTACGTAAACATAGGATAAATGCTTGAGAACTTAGATCGCCTACCACCTCTAAATGAACTGCTCTAGTACTAAGGCAGACAAATAGGCAAAGATAACATTTTGTAATTCTATTCCCACGACCCTTTTTACTCGATATCATGATTACTAACGGTGATTTGGGCTTCTTAATCCAACCCTGATATTGCTTCAGACTAATTTCTCCAGCAATTTGAATTAATAATTCTTTAGCAACATATGCCACAGTGCTGTAGTTAGTCGACTTAGCACCACGGAGGTCACGATTAAACCCATAATACACATTCCCGTTCACTATTCTGACTGCATCCAAGAAACGATCAATTTCGCCGTCTGTCAAACCATTAAGTTTGCTCCATGCAAATGTTGTGTATTTCTTGATTGCTCTACCACATATAATGAACGATGTGAGACCAGATCCTGATACTTGTTCTAAAGTTAATCTGAGACGTAGAGCATGCTCTGGTATGTCATCCAGCCATCTATCGAAGACTTCCGGAGCATTCTCTGACGTTATATACCTACCAAAATTAGTGTAGGCTGTCTCGATAACTTCAATGTCAAGAGATACTTCTTCGCCGATGTCATCTTTAATACCAGTGATAATTTTGTCCACAAACTTCTCTGATACTGTTCCTCTTTTGGCTGTACCTACATAACTTGTTATCAATAGTTGTAATGACGACATATATTTAGTCCTGGGAGTATTGTAGGTTATCCACAACAAAAACTGTTCATAATTCGGTATTGTCATGTTATTCATATCCGGAACTGTCACCCTATCATCTTCATCGACCTGAGCATTAAGTGCCTGGATATGTGCAATCCATGCCTGACCTGTTTTTCCACGGTTATATGGAGTGTCATTCAATAGTAGATATTTGCACACTCGCACAAACTCTTCATTTGCTCCTTGGCTGTCAAGACACATTGTAACAGGTAATACAGGAGCCATTAGCTCTCCGATCACCACAGATTTGATGTAATCCAGGCTCTTTTGAGGTAACCCATGTGCAAGATATCTGGCTTCGCATAATATCTGAACAGCTCCGGAGATATATGTGACAGGTTCTGCCCTAATTAGTTCTATTGAGGCATTCCTAGTTATTAATGTGGTCAGGAAAGTGTCAGCCTTGAGGATATCCTCCACATGTGCTCGCGTGTCAACCCACCCCCTGTTGTACATGCGTGGTGCAACCGCCATTTCTGTTAGTATTTAGCAGGATAAAGATACAACAAATAAGAAAATTAAAAATAATGTTGAAAATATTTTTAAAACAAAGAAGATTCTTTTAGTTGTATCTTCATGTATATTTTTCTTTGGTCACTCTTAAATGATATTACGTAAATGATATACCCGTATAAAATGGAGATTCTGCTTATAACTATAAGTTACATACATCTTTGATAGACATATATGATGTCATCAATAAGACACATCTTAATTGTACTTATCACTACTTAAATTTATATAATTCTTAAATATAACTGACAAATCACTTCTTATACATCATTTCGACGTAATCCACTCATTAATTTATCATACTTCTTACCGTTAGTGATTTCATTATCAGATAATGCCATACAGTTTGTTGATTCAACTGGTGCAGAAGGATGATGAGCATCTAACAGCGGGTATAAGTTTCCCTGTTAGTTTGGTCCTTCGTGTTGATCTTCAATGTCTTTTGGAGGCCTTTCTATTTGTATGTCCTTCTTTACTTTTGCTACTCTTACGGGAGATAATAAGTATGTAGTTGCAGCATCCCAAATTGATGCTATGATATGCCAACTACACCCGTAAACTTCATACAACCCTTTAGAATGTACAATTGTGTCAAATGCCCATTTAATTATCTTTGCTAATAACATTAAACCAAAGATGCCTGAAAAGAAATTTCCGAAAGTCATAAAACTGTCCCATGTATCATTCATAAATCCTTTGAATGATGCTTCTACTGCTTCCTTAGTAAGTAATTTGTTAAACATGGATGTATCGGATATGTATGAATCTTGATTGATTACAGCAGAGACTGTTTGCGATATTGCCTTCCTTTCTGACGGATACATTAGTTGAGACCTCAGAATATCAAGATCTTTATATGAGTATATACCCTATGTAGCTAAATCACCTGCATCTGTATACACCCACTTGGTATCTTCTACAGGAGATAATGAAGAAGGATTAGATGTCTTTGTTAATCCATTTTGGGACACAAACCAAGTACCTGATATTTTATATGCCGGTTGCATTAATACAGAGCAGGTAACGGCCCGCTACCGTCCCGCTACCGTCCCGCTACCGTCCCGCCGCTGGACTTGAATCTCCCGGAACGATTCGGTTCCCGACACCGTCGTACGATTTTAGTATAAAGTTTTTCTTTCTCGATGTATTTCCATTATATTTCTAAAATATGAGCCTGTTCTGGCATTAATTTGATCTGATGACGTTGCATTGCGTGGATTCGCATTACTTTAGGTATAGTTTTAAATAGTGTAACAAATACAACATGCGTAACATTAACTCAGAATTCATAAAAGATTCAGACTTAAAAATAAAAAACAATATATCTGATTATGATTAAGGCTGATGACAAATAGAGAGATAAAAGGAAAAAAAAAAAGAATTTCTAAAAGTGATCACTTTAAGTGACATATAAGAGTAACGATCGCCCCGCGCGGACGGTAGACGGTAGACTGTTCGTGAACATTCGTTCGTGAAACTAAACGGAGGTGCATATTTTAAATTAATATTAAGCCGACTACGAGTGACTTTTTATTTTAATGTACAACGACATATTTTTAGTGAGCGCGGTGCATATATTTTATTATAGCGTCGTGCGTATTTTATAAAACCAAACGCTATTTGGAATTTGATTAGTTGACATGTTGACATATTATATTCACGCTCGTAACTTAGCAAGTTAATGAACGCGACTGTATGAACCCGGTCGGTCGGTTGTCTCGTCGGCCCCCTTCATCCGTGGGTAGAGTAAATATTCTTATTACGCTATCTGTGATATAAATAACGGTCTTATTTTTTTAAAGCTTTAAACGTCGAGTCTTCGGTTGAAGGCTTTCATGACGAGATAATCGGTCTCGAGAGTGCCAACGCATACTGTACTCCAGGCCTCGGGCGAGCGACCACTACCCTGTACTATAGGTACTCGCACATACTCGTACTCGTACCACACACTACACGCAGTACGATCGGTACGAGTCGCGGCCGCTCGCTCGAGCCGCAACGTTCGCATGTGTTGTACGTCCAGTAACCTGTACTCATTAAATCAGTATTATCGATGCATTGTTTTATTTTGTTATTCTATCCACCTACCGCCTACCGAGCAGATAGCCAAGGTACACAGGCACACAACCCTCCCGCAACTGCTGGTGGATTTCTAAGACAAAAGGAAGAAACCAAGGATGACTAGTTAGTACTGATCTCCGAGTCAGAGTCTAATTTCGTCAATTATTTCTTGTCGGCCGATAACTTCTAAAATGGGTACGATAATCGTATTATGAAGAACTAGTGACAGTCATCTGCGATCCCGTGGGTGGACTGAGGAGCATTACGCCACAGGGAGCAGTAGACAACCTGTTAAAACAAGAACTTGGACGTTAAAATCCTACTATTACATGTCATACTCGTGAACGAGTGCTGCTTGTAGGGACTGGTCTGCTCTTATCACTACGACTGATTAATCTTATTGTATATTTATATTTGACTAAATAAATTAGTAAAAATTAAATAGTGCTGGTTGGTAGTTTGTATTCGCACGTTTCGACTTGTGAATGTGAACTTACAAGGATTATTTAAAATAGCAACACACAAGTTTCTTACTCGTTCTTCTTGTGATGAGATAGCTTTCCGAAGGAGCGGTAGATAAAAAAAATTGTTATAACTATTCAAAAGTGCTTAAATTAAGTTTATTTGAATAAATGATTTTCTATTCTATTCTATGCACAGTGTCTACTATTTTGCCACTCAGCAGCTCGCTTTGTAAGTTTTATATTTGTCGTACGGCAGAGAGCAGCACTGCCTAAATTTACATTAGAGAAATGACTACTACAAGAGGACTAAGATCCTCTTGTATGCCTACGCATGAGTGTTATCACGAGTGTCACATGATAACGTGATGTGCGTAGTTATGTTCATGTACATAGACAACATCTTTCAACAGGTTTTTTTATACTACTATAGTGACAAACAGGCATGCGGCCCATCTGATGGTAAATGGGTATCGTAGCCTGTGGACGCCTGAAACACCAGGGGTGTTACGTGCGTGTTGCCGACCCTTAAGAAACCTTAATATAGCCTTAAAAGAACCCCATGCTGTAGTTTCTGAACCTAAATATAAATGTAATTGTAAGTAGGTAGCGCTAGGATATTGGTGTTCTATGAGCTGGTATACCTATTAATAATAACTAGGTTCTATCAACCCAGCAAGGCAGGAAATATAAAACAGCCAAAAAATAATCAAAGACAATGGCCGTTTGGCCATTCATTTATCTTTTAATAATTTCAACTTTGATGTTTTTTTTAGGTTTCTGTTGACTGCAGTTGTGTTACTATTTTCTCTATGTCTCCTTCCATTATCTGCAACCTTCTTTTCCACAATCAACAACTACAAACAACATTACTGAACATTCATTATATGATATAATCACCATCTATGGTAATTATATCGATTGTCAATTTACCGTATTCTACTTTTTTTTTATTTATTTATGCTTTCAATAATTTCGTGGTATAAAAAATTATAATTCTCTTTGATCAGTATTAACGTTAACGAATACATTTTCATACAACCCTATAGTTTCACCCGCGTTAAATTTCAATAAAAAATATAGGCTACTACTATACCTATTATTCTGATGGATAAGCTATATTACTGTAAAGTTTCATCAATATCCATTTTTAAAGTAGTGTTTGCGTTAAAGAGTAACAAACATTGTATACTTACTATAATAAGATTACATCAGTCTATACTACTCCACCACTCTCGGCCAACATGTATGTAAGCTGGAGAACATGACTAAACTATATCCGTTATAAATGGTGCTCATTCTCAGTTAACAATTAGGCCACCGAACACTGCTGACATGTAGGTAATCCAGTGAGCTATATTATTACTTCGCTAGCAATAAACCAATGGACACAGGCTACGATTCTAAGTGTTTCTAAACATTTTATCTTTAGCTGTCTTCGCTCGGGTCCTATTTAATTTTGTACTCATAATAATTGTTATCACATTTCCGATTACACTTAATCTAGTGACGTAAAATTAAAAATCCTTACTAATATTATAAATGCGAAACTAACTCTGTCTGTGTGTGTGTCTCGCTTTCACGCCAAAACTACAGATATAAATGTAAGGTACACAGAAAGTCTGGCCCCGAGAAAGGACATAGGCTTTTTAATGCGAAAAAGGGTTGTAAGGGGGTCGAAAAGGGAGATGAACGGTTGTATGGAAGCATCGCCATAATAAATACTAAATATTTTTTCATTATTTGATCAGCTCTTTGGTCAACTTTATTTGGTCACTATTTTACGCGGACGAAGTCTCGGGTACAGCTAGTATTTATATATTTTTAATCATATAGTTATGTACATATAGTGTAGTACAGTGGATGCTATATGAACTGCTGTAGATCATCAGATTCCAGTACCTTCTTCAATTGCCGTGTTTCGAGGTTTGCTCTGTATGGCATCGAATTAGAGCGACATTGCCTGCAGCCCTGAGTGATGCTTGTGACGTTCCTGGCGTCGACTGCTGACTACATAGGTATGCTGGAGGGCCAGCCTCGTGTTCGTTTCTTACTGAGCAGGTCGTAGGATAATGAAATAACAACAACGAGAGTTGGAACGAAGACATTAAAAATATCGCGTATATTTCTAAATGCGCTCATAAAACAAGCAATCATTCTTAACAATTTCATAATAATTATTACATTCTATATATACACATAATATTAATAAACTTTTTAAAATAATAGATATCAAGTATGTCTTTAATGTCGATCACTTCCGCAGATAGGTCCGTACACTCCGTACCTATCCACGAAGAACAATATTGGTCCATGAGAATGTAAACGACAACATAACCCTGGTTTAACTATAGGTCATATTTTATTAAAATGATCATTTAATGGCAAATCGGTTCACATACACGAAATATTTGCCCTCAGTGATGAAAACGTATTATATACAGAGTGTAGCGGAGGGAGACGCTACCTTTAAAATATATACCAAATCTAGTGACGCAGCCGACCGATTCAAGATATGAAAATATTGTTTGACCTATTGGTACAAGTACTCGAGATATCGAATACTACGACCGACTCAGTTGAACGTATCCATCCCGGGTTCCACCCCGGGGAGGTCCGCGCTCGGCGTGTGGTGGCCGGTGGTGGTGCCCTAGTAGCGCAGGCAGTGGTCGTGGTGGACGGCGAGGTGGAGCGGCGCGGCGTTCTCCTTGTCGCGCGCGTAGTGTGCGGGCGCGGCGGGCGGCGCGGGGGCGGGCGGCGCGAACTCGCCGCCCAGCGCCGCCGGCTCGTACTCGTCGCCCGACCCGTCCGACGCCTCCAGGTACCCGAACAGACGCTCCGCGCCCGCCGCGCGCTGCTCGCGCCGCCGCCCGCCCGCGCCGCCCTCGCCCCCCGCGCCGCCCCCCGCCGCCGCGCCCGCGCCCCCGCCCCCGCCCCCGCCGCCGCCCGCGCCCCCGCCCCCCGCCGCAGCGCCCGCCGCCGCGAACCCCCCGCCTGCCGCGCGCCCCACGCCCGACGGCACCTTCAGGTTGCGGCTTTCGATGTGGCTGTAACAGAGACGACGCGGTGATTTCAATAATGTATGATGTCGCTACACCGTGCACTGACAGACTCGCAGTAGACGCTCGAGAGATTATGTTAGGGGTGCGACTCACTGTGCGTCCCGCAGGTGGTGGGCGAGCTGGTGCTGGTCGTCGGCGAGGTAGGGGCACTTGGCGCAAGCCTTCTTGTTGTGCACCTTGTGCACGTGGGTGGCGAGCCGCTCCGCGCGCGCAGCCTTGTATTCGCAGAGCGCGCACGCGAACGGCTTCAGGTGCGTGTTCAGATGCCGCTTCAGGCACCAGTTGTCCACGCCCGACCACGCGCAGTAGCAGCACGCATACCGCCGCTCGCCCTACGGGATACACCGCTCGTATTACTCCTAACTGACAACTTTACCGCATTCCCCAATACCGACATCCACTCCAGGGCCAGTTCCCTGGAGTGGATGTGGAGTTTTAAACCTAACAAGACTAAGACACAATATTTACGACCAACCTAACTTAAGAAATAGTGCCATATTCAGGATTTATTTAAAGGATTACTTCTACTGACGTACTCGTACCTTGCGCCGGACGCCGGCGGCGGCCCCGGGCGCCGCGGAGGCCGGCCCGAGGCCCGCGGCCGCCTTGTGCGCGCCGGCCGCCGCCGCCGAGCTCTCGGCCTTGGCCAGCGGCGCGCGCTCCAGCTTGACGGGGGCCGAGGCGCGGTACTCGAGCTGCGGGCCGGCCGCCGCGCCCGCCGCCGCGCCCACCGCGCCCACCGCGCCCACCGCCGCCGACGGCGCCGCGGGCGGGGGCTCGGCCGGCGGCTTGCTGTAGTAGTGCAGCGCGGGCGCCGCGGCGGCCTGCTGCGGCTTGGCGGGGGCGCGTCTGATCCGGTTCAGATCGTACGGCTGGTCTCTGTGCATGCGCAGGAAGTGTTTCTTGACGTGGTCCGCCCGGTTGAACTGCTTCTGGCAGAGGTAGCAGTGGAAGGGCTTCTCGTCGCGGTGGATGTTCTCGTGGCGCGTGAACAGGTCCCGCCGGTCGGTGGCGTACGGACACGAGCCGCACGCGTACCGTTTGCCGGCCTCCCCGGCCACGCCGCCCGCCGCCCCCGCGCCCGCGCCCGCCCCCGCGCCCACCTCCGTGGCTTGCGCGGTCTCGCTGCTCCCGTTGCCTCCGGCCCGCCGGTCGTTTCGGCTCGCCTCTACCTGCACATCGTATCATATATGTAGGACGTAGGGCATATAGAGAGTGAGCGGGGACCGAGGGAGTGGTGAGGGAAGAGAGCGGGATGGCACCTTGTTCTTGAGGCGCTGCAGGTAGCGCGTGAGGTCGTCGAGCGCGGGGTTGTCGCGCAGCAGGTGGTCGGCGGCGGCTGGGTCGGAGTGGTGGTCGCGCGCGAGGTGGTGCCGCACGCCGCGCGCCCACCCGGACGCGAACCCGCACCCGCCCACCGGGCACTGGAACGCGCGCGCCTGCCGCCACAATACACCACACCGATTTACTATCTCTTAAAATATTTAAACATTAAAACTGATTAAAAAATATGTACCAGTAACGTTTCTTGCCAGTTCTTGTCAAGTAAGGAAACTAACCGTAGGTACTAGACGGTAGGTTCAGTGATAAAAAATGTCAAACATGCATAAGAGAGAGCAATAAAAAATTTTTTATTTGATTTATTATTTATATTAAGTAAAATACATTGTAAATATTATTTCTTTCTTTCTTAGACAGTGGTTGACTCCTCAATAATTAATTCCTGCCCGTCGCATCCCTTCACTCCATCTTATCTCGCCTCTTCTAGTTCATTCCAATCTATTCGTTTAGACAACAATATGCATTACAGTTACAGTTACATTGTAATGTGGGCAGTGGTGGTATGGTGGTAGCGGTACCTGCGAGTGTGTACCGAGCCAGTGCTCGGCGACGCGCGCCAGGAAGCCCACGCACTCGCAGTCGGCGCACTTGAACAGCCGCTGCGCGGGGTTGTAGGCCGCGATGCGCGAGTGAGCCCACGCCAGCGGCTCCTCCGCCGCCGTCCACCGGTCCTCCGCGCTCGTGTCGATGCGCGGACTGAAGTTCGCCTGCGACCAAACACACTGTTTAATTATCTGTGGTCCTTCGAGCCGGATATTGTCATTTGATTACAGATTCATATTACTTCACTGATCATTATTCATCATCCGGCTCGAAGGGCCAAATGATTAAACACTATTCATGTTTAAAAATTAATTTTAATTCAATAATAATGTACAGTAATCGGTTGCAATTTCATGACACCTAAATCAACAACGGTTGCCTAGCAACGGTAACAAAGCAACAATATAAGGCCCCGTATAATGGCTCGTTTAAACACCCACTCAACATCACAAATGTATACTTTCTAGTTTGACGGCCTCGGTGGTCTAGCGGTTTAGCACACGGTCTTACTTCCGATGGTCGCGGGTTCGATTCCTCGCACGGCACAAACATTTATACATGAGTATGATTGTTTGTCTCTCGGTCTGGGTATTTCTATGTATAATATGTATGTATTTACTGAAAAAACATATTTATGTATTTGTATCAGTTTTCTGGTACCCCTAACACAATAATAATAATAATAATAATAATAATAATAATAATAAATTTATTTGCAATAGATTTTGGGTACATACATATATGATGTTATACAAAAACATGGCCCTTGCAAAATCTGCTTATATCAAGCTTTAGCTATCTTAACTTGAATCTAGATGACGCTGTGTGAATTGTCCTGAGATTATTATTATTATTACAGTTTGACAACAGAGCTTTGCGAGACCTATTCAGATAGTGGAATGCGTGTAGGAGTATATCTTGATGTGGTGTGTGGTGTGACTCGCCTGCAGTATGCCGGGCGGTGGGAATCCTTTCTGCATGAGTGCTGCGAGCCCCCAGGCGGTGATGTGCTCCTCGGGGCGCAGCTCGTCCTCCAGGTCGCGCTCGGCGGCGGGGAACTCGACGCCCACCACGCCGCCCACGCCCACGCCCACGCCGACGCCCACGCCCACGGTCGCCTCCTCGCCGTACAGCTTCTTGGTGATCTCCTTGAACATGTCCTCGCAGTCCATGGTGAGGGACGCCACGCTGCCCACGCCGGCGCCGCCCTCCATTTCAATGTCGCTGCTTCAAACACCACCACCTGCAACAAACAAACAATCAAAGTGAAACTGGTTGCCTCCACTCTCATTGTTCCGTATAATATTAATACTACATTTAAAGACAAACTTGCTGTCCCCAAGTATCGTTTAGAAAAAGTCAATAGGCCTTTTATAGGAATAGGTATAAAAATTTACAATAAGATACCAAAAGATATACTGGAATTACTCTTAAATAAATTGAAAACATCTGTTAAATGATATTTACTGAGCAAAGTCTAGAATTCGGGGGAGTGCAAACAGCTACCTAACAACTGTTGCGAGTATACCTGATTGTCCGCTCCAGAGGCACTGGATATCGTTGCATTGTGGACCCAGCGCTTCTGGACGTGGACACTGATATATGAATTAAGTGTATCTGTATATTATAAGTTACTAACATAGTTATGTAAGTTGTTTACTAACACTATATGGATATAATCCGAATTAAATAAATAATAATATAAAGCTATAAACGATTACTTAAATGACGAGCGTGCGTGGCAATAGTTGCTCATGTTCGGGATTTTCATTTAATGTTAGACGCTTATATAAATATACATTGTAAATAAACTGGCTTTTAAAAAAATGTAATACAGTGGACCCCCGGTAGTCCGACAATCATTTTGCAGGGCAGTGTCGGACTATCGAATTTGTCGGATTATAGAGCACTGCCTAAGACCCCTTATAGTCCGAATTTTTTTACAAAAGAGTACCTTGTAATCCGACAAATTATAGATCCAATGATGATTCTTTATATTATATTGTGGTATAGTGATGCAAATCAGCACGTTCAGTAAAAGATTGTGCGAGTGTACGTTTTGTATAACGACACGTATGTCACGCAGTTGCTCATATATATAGTTTATGTAATTAGTGTCAGCTAGAGTATTCAAGAGGTAACAGTTAAATATACAAGTTACACCCCACTGTGTGTGTTTACTCTCACCACCGCTCCTGTCATCACATGGCGACCGTGACAAAGAAGCTGCATAAATGGATATATACAGTGGACCCCCGGTTATCCGACAAACGTTTTGCAGGGCAGTGTCGGACCATCGTATTTGTCGGATTATAGAGTGCTGCTTATAGTCCGGATTTTTTTACATAAGAGTATCTTGTAATCCGACAAATTACAGATCCAGTGATAAGATTCTATGTTATATATGTATGTATGTATATGCACTCTGAAGTATATTGTCAAAGTAATATTCAATAACAAATAATAGACAATGTCGGATTACAAGGGGGGCCGGATTACCGCGGGTCCACTGTATAATGTAAAGGATTAGACGTTCATAAGCGGCTGAAATGTCCTACATGAATAAATGATTTTTGAATTTTGAGTTTTATATAGCCAAAATAAAAAGAGTATCGAGTCTTAGATCTGTCCACGTATCTAATGTTTCCAGACTTCAGGCGACGTGTTACTTAACACGCGGCGCGGCTCCGGGACCACATGTTTTTACAATGGGGTCCAATTTCACGGGATGTATTGTTGCACAGTTATTTGGAAAGGAATAAAATACGTTAGCTCGCTTCCAAATGATTGCATTATATATAATCTATGTGTTATTCTGGTATACAGTTATTGAAAGAAGAAAGAGTAATGAAAAGTGAAAGAGTAACAAACATACATCAATGCTCACAAAATTTCGCGTTTATAATATTAGTAAGATATAATAAAAAATATAGTATTACGTGTGACTGTGTAGGTTGAAGGGTACACACCCCACCCGGTTAGTGAAGATGGAACTACCTTCAATACTACAGGTAATAGTTCGATTTAAATTAATTTGGTATCATCAATTCAAAATTAACATTTTAACCTTCAACCTTTCAAATGTTACCATTTTTATTATTGTTATCCAGTTATTAAGTACTCAAGATAGCGCGGAATCAATTCCAAGTGATTCCATACTTGTGCTGGCGAGTGTACATATTATAATAGTAGAGGCGACCACGTGTTGGTCCGCGTGTACACACACACAGTACACATAACTGATCGCATTCTATAGATAGATGGACAAATTATTTATTCACCAACAACAGACACATCCTTACTAATATTATAAATCAGAAAGTAACTCTGTCTGTCTGTCGCGCTTTAATGTCAAAACTACTGAACCGATTTAAATGAAATTTGGTATATGAGATACAAAGTTTTTAAAAATGTTACCCTTAAGGGGGTTAAATAAATTAGAGGACAATTGTTTTTATGTAAATTCGTTATTATTGAAGCTAGAAGATTGAAACTTATTTTCGAGGCTGTTGATTAAATATAAATAAATAGACCATCAAAGTTTATAAAAATATTACCCTTAAGAGGTTAAAATAAAATAGGGGATGAATATTTTTATGTAAATTCGTCATTTTTGAAGCTAGAAGCTTGAAACTTATTTGTGAGACTGTTGATTAAATATAAATGAATATGACATTCAAAGTTTGTAAAAAATTACCCTTAAGGGGGTAAAATAAATTAGGGGATGAAAGACATTAGGTAAATTCGTTATTTTTGAAGCCAGATCTATGAAACTTTTTCCATTAGCTTTTTTGGGTTAGTTTATAAAATACCCCACTAATATTATAACTGTGAAAGTAACTTTAACTGTCTGTCTGTCAGTCTCACTTACACGCTAAAACTACTGAACCGATTTAAATGAAATTTGCTACACAGTTAGTCTAGACCCTGAGAAAGGACATAGGCTACTTTTGAATGCGATAGAAGAGTTTTTTTGTGGATTATAATGTAATGGTGCACCCGCCTGCGCTAACGGTTTACGCTGGCGGGGCACCAGTGGAGGATGATAAGATGAGCTTGAGGTCAGGTCAGGTCAGCCCATTGTGCAAATTCACCAGGAATTTAACACGATGGTTTCCAGGGGGAACCGCGTGGAGGTCGACCTGACATGGTACATTGCTAGCAATGGGGTTATCAATCCACATTACTGACAATCCCTTTCCCCCCGATAGAAGGGTTATAAGGGGTTGAAATATAAGAGTTATGTATGGAAGTGTCGTCATTTTTGAAGATGAAACGATGAAACTTTTTCATTTGGCTTTTATTGGGTTAGGTCATTAAATATTTTTTTCATTATTTGGTCAAGGTCACTATTTTACGCGGACGAAGTCGCGGGTACAGCTAGTATTATATATATTAGATACAGACAAATACAACAACAAATAAGAGAAATGTAGATTTATATGTCACAAAGGTCAATAGGCAACCAACTCAGTACGGGCCATGTTTACGCACAAAGTTGGACAAAGAGCTGGTAAATAAAGCTCCGCAGACTTATCTGCGGTCCTATCTAAACTTATATTTTACGTGAAACCTCGTCACGGCTTCATTAGGTAAAGGTAATAGTTAGGCAGGCAGGCAGGCAGGCAGGCAGGTAGGTAGGTAGTCACTGGCCATGCACTAGGTACTGTCTACTATAACTACTCTACGCTCTTGTCTCCACGCTAACGTTAGACCTCGCCTCGTTATCTATGGTCACGGCCTCGTCGAGGTGTAATGACCGGCACAGATATCATATTTATAATGTTTTCAATAAATACAACGGCTTTCTGAAAATACTAGTTACTTCTAGAGGTTTAAGCTTTAAGATGGCCCCGAGGATATAAAGGGCTCCCAGTCTCCACTAAGACACTAAATATTGTCTAAAAAAATATCTAGAATATTAAAAAACCTAATCCTAAAATTGGCAACCATCAATAAGAATCATTCAACCCCTGCAAGTGCGCGTCTATCGAAAGGAACAGGGAATTTCTGGTAGCTTGTTTTTGGTCGGGGTATTTTTTTAATTGAGTAATATAATTAGGCCCCTAAGTAGATATATCCCGGGGCCCCACAAATTCACGATCCGCCTCTGATATTAATTATTGTGTACACAGCCGTGGCTCTATCAAACATTCATATTTGTGATTCCTTTCCGAAGTGCTGAAAACTGACATGGGTCTCTTTGTTTTAATAGGACAAAAAACATTGTTTTTACAATTGCCTCCTCTTTTAAACCTTCATAATTGTTTTTTGTAGCATTTAGGTTAGTCGACTCTGAACGACCTACTGGCTACGTACAGTTAAGTTAAGGCTCGGTAATTATGAGACAGACTAAGTAATTCTTCTTGTAATGAGTCTGCGCTCAGAATGAGTGGTAGAATAAATTAATATAACTATTCAAAAGTGCTTATATTAAATTTATATGCATTAAGACTATTTCTATTCTATTAATTACTGCGATTATAGTAATAACAAGAATATAGCCATACTGTCGCAATTCGCCTTCGTGTTGAGTCAAGTAACATTTCATTGGAAGCGACGCAAAGCTGCGTTTGTATATGTAGTTATACGTTCCGTCCGTCCGTCGGTTAGCGTCTGTACATGCGGGTGGGTACATCTGGTGTGTACTGTATCTATACAAACGCAGCACAGCTCCGCGTCCCCTGGCTGCACCGTGCACCCCACACAGGGCCGCGCTTGCATCGCCTCCTCGGAGCGCCCTGCGGCCGCCCGCCCACCCGCCGCCCGCCGCTACCTGCCGCCGGCCGCGGCGGCCCGGTGCAGCCTGCCCTATTCAATTATCTGCCCTACATTGTCTGTGCATGGCTTTGCACAGACAATATATACATACATATTATTTATAGATGCCGGTTATCTAACCGTATGTCCTCGTTTAAACATCGTTATCGCAATTCACATGACGAATTTACGAGGCAGGAGTTTTGTATTGGAAATGAAAATATGTTACTTATGATTGAGAATTAGTTTGTGTTCCCAATTAGTTTCACGCGTCGGTGTCGCGCGGTGCTGCGTGGAGGCGGCGGCGGGCGCGTGGAGGTGCAGCGCACGCGGGGCGGACCCCCGCCGCACCCGCAGCCCGCAGGCCGCGCTCCTCAATGGAGGGTAGGTAGGCGCAGGTCGCGCTATGCCGTGCCAACTGGGGCCACGTCGCGCCCCGTCGCGCCACGACGTGCTACGACGTGCTACGACGCGCCACGTCCACCATGCTACGTAGCACGTGTAGCGAGTATCGCGCTGTAAGCCAACGGTCCCGAAAACTCGCAGGACGCAAGTCGCTTAAGACGGTTTCAACATTTTTTATACTTCGCTCGCTAGAATATACTCGATCGAAGCCACTCGGCTCCTAGGTTACCTAGAATTAATGTGATGTCTCGGGCCGGAGGTGACCGGCGTCGGGCGCTCGCCGCGAGGACGCTACGTACCTATGCGTATATGCGTCCGAGGAACTATCGGCAGTGGAACTACTAAAGGCCGTGGAGCCGCGGGTCGCAGGGCGGCGATCGATGGCGTGGGCGGTGGGGGCGCGGGCGGCGGGCGGCGCGGGCCCCCGAGCGGCGAGCGCGTGCTGGCGCGGTCGATAGCGCGGCGCGGGGGGGCGGGGCGGGGGCACGTCGGGCGTCGGGCGCAGCACTCGACAGTCAGCATCGCGCGGCGCGCCGGCCGCGACTGACGCCACCCGCGGCCCCTGCCGCGCCGCCCATCGATCGCCCGCCGCCCGCCGCCCGCCCCCGCCGCCCCCTGCGCCGCCCGCCCGTCGCACCCATTCAGTACGGGCCGACGCCGCGACGTATTGACCGAGTACGTGTCTACGCAATGGAACCTCCGGTCCCTTCGCCGCCCGCGGCTCGTTGCCCCCGCATGTACTGCTACGGGCCGCGGGGATGCGCGCGCCATACACACTCGCCTCCAACATGGAGGTCTTCCTTTGTCTAACGCAACGACTAATTACATATTTATTTTACTTTATCTCATGTTTCATGCAGGTTATATGCATGGTTCTGTTTTTGTACGTATCCAGTTCATTTAGTTATATTTTGTACATATTGCCGTAGTTTCACATTATATTATTATTAGAGGAAAACATTAAACAGTTAAAACTTTGGTCGTATGAAATCGCGACTGAAGTACTAGTTGATATCATAATCCAAAAAATGTGACAACAAACACAATACAGAACAAATAAAATTAATAAACACAAAGGTTCACGTTGAGTATTTGCTGCAACTTTCTTTTTTTTTTCCGTGAACCTATAACTAGCTTCACTGCTTCTAATGTCTCAACAATCTACCTGTAATACAGCGCTGGTTTCTCAAATAGTGAGTCACTTGAAATTAGGACATAATCTGTATAGTTTTTTCATACTGAGGGTACCTACACGTAAAAACCATTATTTTAATAACGACAATAAATCAGGTATCTATATTATATATGTTAAGTACCTATATACATATATAAAATGTATATTTACAACGTACAACCATATTCCCAGCCTCTTATTACTATAATAATTTTTCAATCGAGTGACATTATTACGAAAAGTATAGCTTCCACATTCAGTTATTTAGTTCTTTTTGTTTTTGATCATATCTGTAAATGTCAATATAGTATACTAAATACGTATATGTCAATTGAATGAATCCTATGTTTAGATATTGCCACGTATATTATTGTAACTAAGTACATACAAATTGTAACGACATTGGTTTCAAATAAAATAATATAAAAAAAAATTAATATATGTTGTTTTTACTTCTCACGGAAAAGTCAAGCACATGTTACTGTCCATACCATTGACAAGTTTCTTCTATAAGTTCCCGGTGTGTAATACCTACCTACAGCAAAACACTTGACGGGGTCGGGACCACATCACTCTTGATCGGGACTGCAAGCTGCACTATACAAGCAAAGATGTTAACAACGGAGCCACATCTTGACCCAAGAACTGTCAGAGTGTCTATTGAAATACAGGAATACATTTCTACCAGGAACATGGTCATTGGTTTCCAGACTTAACATAGCCTATAACTTGTACCTGGAATCCAATGAATGGGTGATTTAACAAAAACAAAAGTCCGCATCGTAACGTGTGTAGGGTGTACGTGCCAACTAGCGTTGCCAGACGTCCCATATTTCTCGGGACGTCCCGTACTTTAGGCTTAGTTTAAAATGTCCCGGCGCGGCGGGACTGACTCTGTCTCGTATTCGAATCGTGCTCCGTTTTTTATTATTAAATAGATCGATCTACGCTAGACAAAAGTACTCCCGCACGCAACATCGTACCCCTAATTGAATAAGAGAAGAATTTTATTTGTCTCGAGTAAAAAACTAAATTCCCGTATTTGTTGCCTATTTAAGCGTTTGCCCCTTATAGGCTGAAAAAATCAGGCAACTGTAGTGCCAACACAGTGAGTATACTCGTAGTTCGCCGAGATGAGTATCGAGTAGGGTTGCCAAGCCCAAATTTAAACCAGGATTGATAGTTCAAAAAACTAGGACTATCCAGTTTAAAAACAGAACGCAGTAGTAGTGTTGCAATAGTTATATTAATATGTAGCAAAATTCAAGTAATTAATATAATCAGGTTTTTAATAAAAAGTATTTGATAAAATTATACTGTTGACAATCAGTAAATAAAAACCCAGGACGCTGACAAATAACTATTCAGGACTTGCCAGGACACTTCAAATACTAGGACATGTCCCGGGAAAACAGGACGGTTGGCAAGTTTAGTATCGAGCGAGTTCCAATAGTAGCAACAAACGAGGACGCGTGAAGGTACACACTACACGTATATGTCTACTCATCATTTTATGTTTTACACGCTTCTCTACGCGCTGCTCTCCATTTAGCAGTGATCACGGCGCGCGGGCGAGTGTAACACTGCCCAAATATCGGGAACTCAATAAACCTTACTAGTATGTACTATAAATGCAAAAGTAACTCTATTTGTCGCGCTTTCACGACAAAACTACTGAACCGATTTAAATGAAATGTGGTACACAGATAGTCTAGACCCTGAGAAAGGACATAGGCTGTGTATAAGTATCGTCATTTTTAAAGCTAGAAGCTTGAAACTTATTTTTAAGGCTGTTGATTAAATATAAATAAATATGACTTCAGAGTTTGGAAAAATTTTAGGTGGTAAAATGAAATAGGGGGTGAAAGTTTCTATGGAAACTCGTCATTCATCGTCATTCATGCGGAGGAAGTCGCGGGCACAGCTAGTAAATGAAACGTGTTAAGATCCAGTATTTTTTTTACTGTTACATGTTTATTTACGTGAAACATTAAAGAAAATACTGGAGTAGTAAAATAAGTAGGTATAGGTATGTGTTGACAGTTAATAACAAAATACCTTCCCGTATGTCGCCATACCAAAAACACTTTGATAGTATACGAGTATGTATAATACATGTGTAAATAAAGAAATATAACAATATTATAAACAATGTTATTGTATGTAACTGTAGGTCGCTCACTTGTAGCAGATACTTCTATTTAATGTGTGTATGTATGTACCTTACCTGCCTTACTAGTAGATGTAAAGCATACAATTGCGAGCCACTCCACCTACTCCGTGGCAGACTCCGCATAGAATAAAAAGGTCACTAGTTTTTAAATTGTGCTGCTAGCAACTAATTATAGAATTTTAATTAATTAGTACGACAAATAAATTAACGTAAGGACTATCTTTGTTACTGTTATTTATTACTGAGCTCTCAGACAGATGCAGTCTGTATCGGTAGCAGTCGTTTACGAGACAATGTTACGGGTGAGCTGTGAAATATATTTCTTTCGTTCTTGTTTAATAGATTGTGGGTATAGTTCAATTGTTTCCACCACACGACAATAATATTTCATAAGGCGGTCTGGTGCGGCAGGCAGGGCTCCGGCCGGCGCGGCGCGGCGCGGCGCGGTGGTGCGGCGGCGAGACGAGCCACCCTTACGATGTGCTCGTACTAGCATGCTATACAGCGCTCGACCGCTGCCGTCAGTTTGGTTGAACTACGTACCGCGTATACATACACAGTCGGTAGCAGCAGCATACGTATGATTGACAGACAGACGGACAGCAGGCGGCGCGGCGGCGCGGCGGCGACCCGACAGAAGCTTCTAACATCTTAATACATTTAAAATAGAAACCATTTGAGTTACTTGCTTTCTCAACTGAACTGCCGACATTAATATACTGATGTATTTGTGATTCACTGAACACATGAAAATATTAATTTAATTTATATATTTTTTTAAATTGAAATGGGAAGCTGTGGTTGCCCTCAGACGTGAGTACTGTGATGGATTTAAATGTGTACAGTGTCATGTCACCACACAAAACAGCTTACGAATAAACTGTGTCGCGCCCAGCTGAAGTTGGTGAGATTGAGTTACCTACGTAGTCCATTTTATACAGAACTGGTAACTGTACAATTTATTGAAATTAATGATACATAATTAGTGTACACAAAGTGTTTCATGCACGCATCTTTCCACCACCACCGCCTATCAAACAATCTTTGTAGGTCCATATTTTTTCTTGGCCAATACCAGATTTAGGTATTTATGAAGACACTAAAAACTATATCAGCCTCATTTTATAAACATCATCTCCTCAGGAGTTGTGCGCTGATGCGGGTTGTTGATGGGACGGTTTCGTTCCACTGTCACAATCGCTGTTTATAAATGACTGCATATTTAAAATAACACTTACATAAATCTTTATATATAAAAATTACGTGTCATATTGTTTGTCCGCGATGGATTCCTAAACTACTGAACCGATTGCAAATTTGATTTGCACATTATGTGTATTTTGATCCAACTTGAAAAATATGATAGTTTACATATAGTCGCAATATTATTTTATTCAACAACCTTAGCCACAGCAACGCGTGGCCGGCTCTGATAGTAATCTGCCTGCGTGATGCCCTGTGTACTTGTGTACTGGGTTATTACATATATGGTATGTCATCCTCGACAATATAGACGTTTACAACACAGCCTTACTTCTGATGGTCGCGGGTTCAATTCTCGGACGTATGAATAATATTGTTCGGATAGGTCGGGTTGTGTTCTATACATACGTAGTTATATGTAGCTATAATAAGTATGTATTTAAAATATGTAAGTGTGTATTTACCATATATCAAATGAAAGCTCTGCTAAGTTTAATAATTGGTGGTCAATTTGTAATATTGTTTTGTTAAATACATGATAGGAGGATATTTTATATGTTATTTCAATGGCAATCAAGCTGACGACCCGCCTGATGGTAAGTGGTAACCGTCGCCTATGTACATTAATATATGAACAGCACTGCGGACTTCACGTTATGATCTGGGACCGGCGATGGCACTCGTGTGTCGCTCGTGTGTCATACTTGTCATTATGTAACTTCAGTATCTGACCTGCATCCTGCAATTAAAACACAGCCTACAAAGCAACTGCTTGCCGACTGAAATACATACGAGAGACTGTGACCTACCACCGACCGACCGAACTGTGGCCGACCACTGTTTACACTCAGCGGCTGGTAATGTAAACCCTTTGCCACCTGACCATAATAAAGTGCAGTAGAGTAGAGATCAGTGTTTGACACAAAATGTACTACGAGAAATGGAACGTGAAATGTGTTCGTCACCAATAGTTGTCCATAATTTGTCATCTGTCCGGCCGTGAGGACATGTTGTAGTCTGTGTACGTGGTGCCCGTTGCTGGCTCGGCATCAGGCGGCCGTACGCCTCGTATCTATCGACCGTACACCCCGCTACATCCGGGACCATCTGCATTAAAATTCATCCCCAATTTCTCTCCTTAGATATATTTTATAATAATAAGTGTGTTACACATTCCGTAGTAAACTAGCAAATGGTAACAAAATGAAGCAAATGTTATTATAATAATTACTAGATATGACGACCTTCCTGGCCTAGCGGTTTAACACACTTCGATAGTCGCGGGTTCGATTCCGCGTACGATATAAACATGAGTATGATCGTTTGTATGGTGTTTTCTATGTGTTTAAAAAAGATATGTATTATCTTATACGTAAAAATTTCTATCAGTTTAGCACCCATAATACAATGATCGCTTAGTGTGGCACTAGGTGGTGCCGTGTGAATCGTTATTATAATTTAGCTAGTGGAATCGATTTACCCTTTAACTTTAAGTATTTAATAACCATTGATTAACATTTGATCATCAACTTCATCGCCCTATACAGAATACAAAAATACTGCCCAAGTTAAAAATACAGTGACCCAGATTTTACATCTTAATAGCCTACTCGTCAGATACATTGTCAGTTGTCGGAGCTGGACTCGGTGTACGTTTCTCAGTCAGGATGGGCTGGTAGTTTCAGTCGGCGGTGCAGCGCGGAGTCGAGGCTGGGGTGCGGCGGGCGCGGTCGGTGCGTGCGGGGCGCGGGTGTGCGGGCGGTGGCGGCGGGCGCAGGCGCGAGGCGGCGCGGCTGCGCGCGGCGCGGCGGCGGCGGCGGCGGCGGCGGCGGCGGCGGCGGGCGAGCGCGGCGCGGCGCTCGGTCGATGGTCAGTCGCGCCCCGACCGCGGCCCGTCCCCGTGCAGCCGTCGCCGCCGCCGCCGCGCCCGCAGCCGCCGCCGGCCGCGCGCTCGCCGCATGCCGCGCCCGCGCCCGCGCCGCCGCTAGCGCCGGCGTGGCCGGCGAGCCGCCCGCCGCCGCAACCACCGACCGCCCGCCGACGGCAGGTGAGCGCCGCCGCCCTGCCCTGCTCGTGCTGCGGCATCGATCGCCGCCCCCGCCCGCGCCCCCGCCCTCCGCCCCGGCCCCCGCCGCGCGCATGTGTGGCACGTGCTGCGCGCGCTCCGCCGTTCACGTCGAGCCCTTCTTCTGATCTCCCCAGTACCGGTGTGCTGCACCGAATGGTGATAGAAAAAATTCAAAGTCCAAAATTTATTTCCCAAAAAAAATTTGTAGTTTTTAAAATGAACCTGTAAATGCCTTAGAATGGACGACAGTCGCGTGTGAATCCGACTCTTGTGTTTGAAGTTTTTTTCTAAAAGTTTGTTTAAACGAACTCGCACCGCATAAGCGACCAAATAGTGGCAGCCACCCGCGTCACAGGTGGAGATGTCAGAGGCGCTAGCAGCGCGCATCACCGGGCTACGTTTATATCAGGCGTGGAACGATACACTATATTACAGTAGTATCCCATACACATCTCTGTAAGGGAAGAGTGGCACGTCTGCTGCTATTGATCGGCCGCGACGTAGCTCGTACGCAGCGAGCGACTAACTGTTAGCGAGCGGTGACCGGTGCGAGGCGTTATGCTCAGTGACTGCTGGAGATGCAGAAGGAGGGCCGCGAAGTGAGTCTGGATGGCGTGGTGGCTGTGGACTGTGGTGCGAGCGGAGCCGGCCTGTGCCGCCGCGCCGCCACTGCACTGCACTGCAGGCAGCTGGCGCGGCGCGGCGCGGCGCGGTGCGGTGCGGTGCAGTGTAGCGAGCGTGCGCGTTGTTTACAAGGGGTACTCCTACACGCGCGCGGCGTCCGCAGGCGGCGCAGTAAACACGCGCCGCCGCGCCCGCGCCGCCGCCGCCGTCGCCGCCGCCTCAATGAGAACGCGCGGACTATAAATACACGCGTCGTTTCGCTTGCCGCTGTCCATTCTCCTCCCCTCCCCGCCCCCCCCCTCGCACCGCGGCGGCCGCGGCTGGTCGCGCGACCCTCACCTACTACCCTCCAAATGTTGTTTATTTTCGCGTCCGGTAGTACTGGCGCGTACTGGCGCGGCGCGTGCGGCGGCCGCGGCCCGCCGTGCGCGTCCATGTTCCGCTGCTGGCTGCACCATGTTTACCTCACCTCACCCGCACTGCCCCACGCCGACGTTACAACACATCACCAGCTAGTATAATAATATTTATAAGCCGCATCGTACATATCACATCTGTTCGCATCCTCGTTATTTTCCTAAATCGTCGTTGATGACCAACAGTCAGCAGCACATGATAGTTATAAAATTAATATTGTGTAACATTATACTGTTACTTTTTCTAAAGTAAAACAAATCTATCTTTACTGTGCTCTATTTTCATATATCAGTAGTACAGTTAAGTATTTAAAAATTACACTACTGCAGTAGGTACCTACTAGTACCTACACTATACTATAATTAAGTTTTATTCCTTTCGGAGTCTTACAGATCTATATAACTTACATATATTTCTAATAGGTGTTAGTTGCAGCGCGTATAATATAATATATATAACTTATGAAGTACACAATGCTTTGCTGATGTTAGTACAGCCACGGTGGCACTAAGTATTATAGAACCTCTCAGTGTCGGCTGCCCGTCGTCCTAGTTACTTTATAATAACTATTTGTTTAACGGATCCAAAAAATGTTATAACTTTCTTATCCACTAGTGTTTTATATTAATATAATTTACAAAATAAAAATGTATTCTTAATACGCTAGGTAACTTTTTAAATTAATAATTTTCAAATTTCTAATCAATTTGTAAATAAAAAGTAAAATATACTTCGATGGCCGAGGAAGTTCAAGAAAAATTCATACTCGTTATCACTCGACGAATCCCGAGTCCACGTACACTGGTATAATGAATTATTTTAACTGTTTGTTGCCACGTGAGCACACCGCTCACAGTATTATAATAAACTATCTGCTCCCTCGACTGCGTCCGCGTGGAATTTAACTTTATTTTTCTAAAATAAAAGTGGCCTAAGTTACTCCTTATTGCATCAGCTACCTGCCAAAAAAAGTACCGTCAAAATCGGTCCAGCCATTTCAGAGATTAGCAGGAACAAACAGACAGACAGACAAAAATGGTAAAAAATGTTATTTTGGTATATGTACCGTGTTTATATTCATATGCATGTAGTAAAAAACGTTTATTTCAATATTACAAACAGACACTCCAATTTTATTGATGTGTATAGATATAATGTTATTTGACGACGTCTCTTATACTGGTCTAATATCAGCAAAGATGCGCCGCACGATGGCTATATACATACATACATACATACATACATACATACGTACAGGTGTACGGGCGCGGGGCGTGGCGATACTACCGGATTCAATCTGAGAGAGTTCATTTTGAAATTAGAGATATATCTGTACTACTTACAAGTTACATTTTAGTGTTTTAACAAAATGAATCTTAAAAATTTTAAAACATTTGTTATATGTTTATTATTTTATTATCTGTGTATGTTTGTTGTATGTATGTATGTTTATTATGACCTGCTCCACTTATTGCAATCAGACTGCAGTGATGAAGCGTATCTATTGATGGTACAAGTTGCGGTTTATTTTAACGCAATAGCATTGTATACCATGTCGATATTCATGTGACGGCCCGCCTGATGGTAAGTGGTCACCATCGCCTTTATACATGTATCACATTATTAATGTCGTCCAAAGCACAGCTTACAAAGCTCACTAGATCACATTATATTCAAAGTCACTAAAATAATTTTCTGGTTAGAGTTTAGATACATTAAAATAATTGTAATGTACCTGAATGGTGTATGGATATGATGCGATTTATAATGAGTTGCAACCAAGTGGCAAGTAGACTTGAATTGTTTGCGTCGCGTGACGCGCACGTGTCGTCGCCGGCGCGGCGGTGTCACGAGCCGTGTGACGTGACGTGACGTGACGTGACGTGAGGTGAGGTGAGGTGTGGTGGTCGCCGCGTGTGACGCGTGTCTGATTGTTGGTTTGCAGATGTGCAGCCTGTCTGCGTTGGCGCGCGGCTGCCGGCCCGCGCCCGCACCCGCCGCCAAGCCGTGCTGCCTGTGCTGGTGCTGCTGCTGCTCCTGTTCCTGGTCAGTACTCGCACACACCCCCCGCCCCCGCCCCCGCCCCTGCCCCCCACACACCACCCCCGACAACGTGTCCAACGTCGCACCGCAACCAGCACACTGGTACGCATTGCGTCGAACCAAAGGCGGTCGCAAATATAAATAAATACATAATTCATAACGTATGCATTACCATTACACAGGCCAAGTTATCAAGTTAAGTTACAGAATCCATCCTCACTAACACTTATAAATGAGAAAGTAACTCTGTCTGTCTGTAGTGCTTTCACGACAACACTGCTGAACCCATTTAAATGAAATTTGATACATAGATAGTCCCTGAGAAAGAACGTAGGCTACTTTTTAATGCGAAAAAAATATTGTTAGGGGTTGAAAGAGGAGATGAAAGGTTGTATGGAAGTATCGCCATTTTTAAAGCTAGAAGCTTCAAACCTAGTTTTTAGGCTGTTGATTAAATATATAAATATGATATTCAAAGTTTGTAAAAATTTTACCCTTAAAGCGGTAAAATAAAATGCTTAACCAAGGTCGTTATTATACGTGGACGAAATCGCTGGCACTGCAACATTTAATATAAAAATGACAACTCCTGTAATTGAGGCAATTGCAATTAACCTGTCTCTAAGCGGTCCAGATTCTTTAGGCTGTATATTATTTATAATACCTATGATGTATATTTAGTTGTGTTTTGTTTTTTGTCGCAGGGCTAAATGGTAAGTCTGTCGTGGGGCGAGGGCGCTGCTGCGGCCGCGGGCCCGACCCGGACCCGGACCCGGACCCGAGGCCCGCCCGGGGGCGGCTCACACACACACACACACACACACACACACACATACTGATCAGTGTTATATTCATGTTATCATTCTTGGTCCAACATACTTACATTACATTTTCGCTAAACTTTCAGCATTTAACTTTGAGATTTTCGTTTATCACCTCGATTAGTGTGAGATTAGAAAACATATTACTAAATACTTATTTTTTTTATTTTAATTTATAAGTATATATCTTGGATGTTGGGTTTTACCTTATATGTATACATATAAAAATTTCGTGTCACGTTGTTTGTCCGCGATGGACTCATAAACTACTGAACCGATTGCAAATTTGATTTGTACATTGTGTGCAATTTGATCCAACTTGAAAGATAGCATAGCTTACATCTCAGTTTATAGTCGCAATATTATTTTATTCAAGAACCTTAACCACAGCAACGCGTGGCCGGCTCTGATAGTCAAATATATCATTCGTCTTTGATCCTGCGGCATCTTTTTCTTCAGTGACTATTGCAATGCTGTCAATGCTTTCTTCACCCGACATCATATATGCTCAATAGATATATATCTTTTTTTTATTACGACTCACAATGACTAACGCGAATGAAATGAAAGAAATACCAAATGTCAAAATGTTCATATAAGCCGATAGTTGTATGTAGATTTGCATAGATAATTAATAAATAATTGATTAATATCCTCAGCACACATAATACAAAATAAAGACAATAAACGTGTATAAAAATAAAATGTTTAAACTAAACTCTAAATTAAGATCTAGGTGTATTGTTATAATCACATTTTAATTTGACAGATTAAAAATTACTCTCTTTTTTTAAATTTAATACTGGCACAAATTTTTTTTAACTCCAAAAAAGGTTGTATACATATATTAATTAAACAAGACGTGTGACTAACACAGTCACAATAACAATAATAAACAAACACGTGTTCGTCACAAGCGTCACACAATGCGTGCGCAGATGACATAATATTAAATAATGCGTGTATGTGAGTATTTTTGCACAGAGAGCCAACACTGATTTTCGTGTATATATACATAGTAGGAGAAAGTTGTGGTTATAACAACGTGCAATATACATACATGTTATATCTTAATATATTTATCTTTATCTAATGTCTTAATCTTATTATTATCAAAAGTTTGTAAGTATACATGTTTGTTACTCTTTCACGCAAAATCTACTGAACGAATTTTGATGAAAGTTTACAGTAATATAGGTTATGCATCAGAATAACACATACGTTATATTTTATATTTTAATAGGGGTTGGTGATAGAAGAGTGGAAATTTAGGGTTCTACGTATTTTTATGTCACAATAAAAAATGAGAATAAAAAATTATTTTGAAAAAATGAAAATTAAATTCTTGAGGTGGGTCACCCTTAACACTCAGAGGTATAAAAAAAGGGTTATAAACCTATTACCTATACCTATAGACCTACTGAACAGACATATAAACCTATATATAATGAATATACATGAAACCTGTGAGTGGAGAATGTTGAATGTTATACATATGTATATCGTACGTGCAGCCTGGCGGCGCGCGGCTCGGAGGGCGGGCCGGGCAAGAAGCCGCGCGAGCCCGGACCCCAGGACCCGCTGCTGCCCGACGGAGACGCGCCGTTAGTATACACATACACATACACATACACATACACACACCCCGTTCACTTGGGCTGGGACCTGCTTCACGACCTCGGCGGTCTAGCGGTTTAGCACACGCCTTTACGTCCGGTGGTTGCGGGTTCGATTCCTCGCACGGCACAAACATTTGTATTCATGAGTATGATTGTTTGTATCGGGCTGGATATTTTATATGTATAATATGTATGTCTATACGAAAAGATGGATGTATTTAAAATATATATATATCTATGTATTTGTATTAGTTATCTAGTACCCATAACACAAGATTCGGCTAGCTTAACTTGGGACTAGATTGCGCTGTGTGAATTGTCCTGAGATTATTATTATTATAGCTTTTAGTATCTTCACGATTTGATTTGAACCGACTAGGACTGGCCTACAGCATCACATTTGTATATATAGGTCACATGTGTCTGTACTTCTGCTCTAGTTCTGTCTATACTACTATGGTGTCATATCATATGTCATACGGCCCGTCTGATGGTAAACGGTTACCGTAGCCACTGAATGTCTTAAACTAGGGGTATCGCGTGCGTGTTGCCGACCCTTAAGGAACTAACTCGTAAGTCAGTTGTTATACATGTTTACTTAATGCACAGCTGATTATTATTTTGCATATGATCATTCCATAAAGAATTTCACCAGTCGAAAGTCATAAATTATAAAGTTAGGAGTTCTATAGAAAAAAAAAATATGGTGTAAGCACCTATGTACATAGACATGATTCAGTTCAGTTAATATGTTTCTTTTATGGTTGATAATGGAATGGTGCAAGCGGGTGTAGCACTAACGGTATACGCTGGCGGGGCACCAGTGGAGGATGATAAGATAAACATGTGGTCAGTGGTCAGGTCAGTTAGCGCATCGTGACCAATTCACCTGGAATTTATCACGATGTTTTCCAGGGGGACCGCGTGGAGGTCGACGTGACATGGTACATTGCTAGTAATGGAGTCATGAGTCCACGTTACTAACTACGCCCTTCCCCCGTTGTATATGTATATATATATATGTATCGCATGTGACACTGTCGAGGCACCTGATGTACCATGACGTGATGGTGTGTGTGTGTGTTTCAGACCGAGCCTAGAGGAGATCCAGAGCTGGGGGCAGTCGTTCGACCGGCTCATGCGGAGTGCAGGTCGGTCACACGCGGGCACCAAACATCTACCTCGCTACCTCGCTACCTCGCTATGTCTCTGCGTCGCTAGTCATACTTAGTTATAGTACATAGTACATAGTGAACCAACAGTGGTTAACTATGTATATATATATATATATATATATACGAGTATAGACTCGTATGTGAACTTGTAAATACTCGCATGCCACCACGTCAAGTCAAGTCTATGAATGGTACTGCGAGTATATTGAACTGTGACAATTATCAGGAGAACATTTGCAATATGCATATATGTATGTATGTATGTACAACAACAATAACAAAATATATATTTTTTATCTAAAGATATACAAAGTTTACATTGAAGAAGCTTTTGGACTACGCAACGGATTTAAATGTAGTTTTTAGTAGTAGATAGAGTGAGTCAAGAGGAATGTTTGTATGTATAATACTTGTAGCCGTGCGAAGCCGGGGTGGATAGTTAGTTAGTAATCATTAGATGTTTTAAAAACCTATTAAATGAAAAAACTGTAAAGAATATTAAACTTCTGTTAAGTCTATTTTATTAAGAATTTATTTATTATAGGAACACCAGCGCTATTCTAAATATATACCTATATCTTGACACAATTAATAAAAAAAAATACTAGGCCAGTGATGGCTTTCACAAGTAGTAACAGAATAATATGTAGTACCAAGTATGTAATATTATCTTATATGTGACTAGCTTTTGCCCGCGGCTTCGCTCGCGTTATATTACCCCCTAAGGGGTGGAATATATCAAAATCCTTTCGTAGGAGATGCCTACGTCATACATAGTAGCTTTATGCATGCAAAGTTTTAGCCCGATCGGTTTAAAATTGACAAAGTTTCATACAAACTCTCATCCCCTATTTTATCCCCTTGGGGGTAGAATTAATCAAAATCCTTTCTTAGCGGATGCCTACGTCATAACATCTACCTGCATGCCAAATTTCAGCCCGATCAGTCCACTGGTTTGGGCTGTGTGTTGATAGATCACTATGTCACTCACCTTTGGGTTATATATATTTAGATAATAGACAAGTACTCGACATAATTATAGTCGAGTCAAAATTATACGTAATACGTATAATTTCGACTTGTACGTATATTACGTAATTTTTTTTTTTTATATTATTTTAATTGATGTAAGTGTACAATGCTCAACCAATGTAAACGGTCCACTTGTGTGTGTGTTCATGTACCGTGGTGTGGCGGCGGTGGTGGTGGTGGTGGCGGTGTACAGCGGGCCGCAAAGTGTTCCGCGACTTCCTGCGCGGCGAGTACTCCGAGGAGAACATCATGTTCTGGCTGGCGTGCGAGGAGCTCAAGCGCGAGACCGACCCCGACGCCGTCGAGGAGAAGGCGCGCTTCATCTACGAGGACTACATCTCCATACTGTCACCTAAAGAGGTACACACACATCAGATGCTTGTTATATAACTCATAAGACTGGTTTTCGTTATCATGTGATGCCAGTGTTACCATTCACATGTGATGGAGGACTGGGACGTCATGTCTACATATTCCGTAATGTCACTTGTATTATCTCACCTTTTAACCGAAACACAGTCTACAAAGTAAGCTGCTCGGGGCTGAAACAGCCGAGTGTGTCTCACCGTACCATCACCCACGCATAGTCTTCTGACTCTAGTACAAACTCTTTATGATTAATATTTTAAATCTGTATGTATATAATCTGTATCTGTGTCCTTTTTTTTTTATTAATATTTTTTTTTTTTATGAATATAATAAGATAACGTCAAATTATAATACATATGGCATAATGTGGGCTGTCAGATAAACACATAGCTACACTCAGCGACTTAGAGGGCATAGACCCAGAGGTTTCCCAAAGTGGTCTATATCGACGGTCGGTCTACGACAGCGGTCGTCTTGTTATTTTTGAAAGTACAGTTGAAAGTGTAATTATTTCATTTTCATCCGTGATATAAGTGATACATGTGAGTGTTCACGTCGCGCAGGTGTCTCTGGACTCGCGCGTGCGGGAGGTGGTGAACCGCAACATGGTGGAGCCGACGCCGCACACCTTCGACGAGGCGCAGCTGCAGATCTACACGCTGATGCACCGCGACTCCTACCCGCGGTTCGTCAACTCGCCGCTCTACAAGACGCTGGCGCGCCTCTCCGGCGGGGAGCCCGCGTCGCCGGCGGCCGCGGCCCCCTCCGCGCCCCCCGCCGCGCCCCCCTCCGCGGCCCCCGCCGCCCCCTCGCCGCAGTGACGCCGGCTGCGCTCGCGGAGGCCACTTCGTAGTGGGCGCGAGTCGCGAGTACCGCGCTAGGCGACTCCCACCCCGGAGGTCCGTCGCTTCCCCGAGACGGGCCCTCACTCGGAGCGTCCTCGCAGAGTGTTTTCTATTCTGTATATAGTCTCGACATACTTTAATTAAACGGGTACTAATTTTGTACATAGTTAGGTTAAGTAAGAGTAGGTGCGCGCGCGGTCTGCCGCCGCGGCAACTTCGCTGGTCCACCGGCTGCGTCCGCCCCCGCGCGCCCGGCCCCGGCGCCCCACCCCCGCGCGGCGCGGTGCCGCCCGCGTGCGGGTTCGAGTCCCCGAGGCGGCACCGCGGCGCGGCGCGACGAGGACGTGGCGGCTTCTCACACGTTCGGTCGTTCGCACTCCGCCCCCGCGCCCGCGGCCCTCGCTCCCCCCCGCCACCGTGTCCCGTCGCCGCCGCCACCCTCACCCTGTTCCCGTTTCCTTTTTAATGCACTTTCTAGTTAGAAGCAATAAAAGGTGGACCAATTAAGTTTGCCGGAGAGTCAACGAATAAATCTGTTCATGTAAAGACGAAATTGTTTTATTTATTCTCACTTAGTTTCCCTCGTCATAGCGGTGGTCAGTTTCTTTACCAATATTGCGCAAAAACATTTCTGAGCCTCATAGATGTACAGCTCCAAGGAGGTACTTACATCTCACTTTAATTTTTTTTTTTTTTTTCTATTGTGGCTAACAAGCATTCTGCCAGTCGGCCAGTCTGATGGTAAATGGTTACCGTAGCCTATTGACGCCTAAAACACCAAGGGTGACACGTGCGCGTTACCGACCTCTTAAAAACCCTTAATATACCCTTCTTGACAAAACACAAGCTGTAGTCTCATGAGAAAACCTCGGCAGGTAGTTCATTCCACAATATCAGTGTACGCGGGAGGAAGTTCCTCTGAAACCACATTGTCCGAGACCACTTAGGTTCTAGTGAATGCGATAGCGATGAATTCCCTGTTGATGGCGAGCGGTGCGATGGTAAAAGGTAGCCGTAGTCGAACAATTCCTCAGAACACAGAACACACAAAGCGAAGCGAAGTCTCGCCTCAAGCTAAATGTTTCGATACCGCCAGAGAGGTCGGGATCATCGACAATTCTCATAGCATCTCTCTGAACCGGGTCAAAAGGACCGAGCTAATATCCAGGTGCTCCTGTCCAAAGATGCGATCAGTACTCCATGTGCGACCGAACCTGTGTCTTATATAAGACTAGCTGCACCCACGACTTCGTCCGCGTGGAATTTAACTTTATTTTTCTAAAATAAAAATAAAAGTAGCCTATGTTACTCATTATTATATCAGCTACCTGCCACAAAAAAAAAAAGTCCCGTCAAAATCAGTCCAGCCATTTCAGAGATTAGCCGGAACAAACAGACAGACAGACAGACAAAAATTATAAAAAATGTTATTTTGGCATATATATTCATATTCATGTAGTAAAAAACTTACGGTTATTTCAATATTACAAACAGACACTTTTTTATATGTATAGATGAATAGATGAGTCTTTGGTCTACAGTGAAGTATCGCCTCGTTCTATTGAGCACACCGAGCTCTTTGGACGCCAGCTTTACCTTTTCTTCAAGGTGACTACGGAACTCGACTGTGCTAGAGATGTCGATATCGAGAAATCCAATACTCTTAGACACGCTGACGGGCGTGTTCTGGAATTGCGGAGCCACAGGTTTTCTTTGCGCTGCACGCGCAAGCTTGCATCTGAGTAAGGGTGAATTGAACTAAGTTCAAATGTCCCCAATCAGAGACTCCAATAAGAGTGCTCTCGATTTCAGACACAAGCTGCAGCAAAGCACATATGCAGCAAAAACAGTGTATGGGAGAGACGGAGCCTTGCGGAACGCCAGCGTTAATCTCCATACTATCGGAGCAACTACCGCCGAACACGGTTTTGATGCATCTGATAGACAAAAAAAAAAAAAACTAGCAATCCATTCATTCATTAAATAAACTGGATTTAAAAAAATCTATTGAGTTTCTTGCCAGTTCTTCTCAATTGGATCTATATACCGATCTGGACGGTAGGGAAAAAAAAAAAAAAATTATGTAAAAAAAAAAATATTGTTTGGGAAACTACTCTGCTACCAAAATGTTAGGGAATTTACTCTCTGTATATATATAGGGAAAAATAAGGAAGCGTCAGTCATTTACCTGTATGGTTCTGCGGATTTCTTGGGCTTCAGGGTCTCGAAGATATCTTCGCTAGCTTTCACACACTTTCACAGTAGGCTTCACAGTTCTAACTTATTTTAATTCACAACAAATGCGCGCGCGCGTCAAGGCCGTCGTACAGTCGGTTCAGTACTAGTTAGGGAGGGAAAGGGAACGCGTGGGAACAGAAAACTAACGGACTCTAATATAATATCTGTGCTTACGATGATACAGGGTAGATTTTGAACATAGCCCCCGCTCTAAACAGCTATGATGTTTACGGAACAAATTATCAAAATTAAGGGAAAAATTACAAGGTAAGGGAGCTATACAATACATTACTCAATAGGAGGTGTTGCGGGTGAATAATAATGTGTTGCTGGTCGAGACGATGTATATTACAGATGATAATAAACTGACAATGTGTACATAGAAATAATGATCTTATATACTAAATAACAATAGGAAAATGTAAGGTGGGGTGACACAGTTTAGATACAGCAGTGCCTAGTAGACAATATTGAATTTGTCTTACTAGACATTATTAAATGCATTTATTATTTTATGTATCTAGGTGACTGTGTCCCATAGATATTCCCCCTTGAGAGAAAAAAATATATATATTACACACAAAAAAATTATAAAAGTTAATTATGAACAATATAAATTAATAAAATTTTTTTTTTTTACAAATTAAATCTCACTGTAGGATAAGATGTGCGTCCATAACGTGTCACTTTCAAAGGTCGGCTGTCAGCTGTTGACGAGCGGTGTCCTGTTTCTGCCTCGCCAGCAATTGCTTCGTTGTTTATTATGAATGCTGGCTTGAGTCTATCTATTGACACATTTGTTTCTTTTTCGTCACGCTTGATTGTGAATACTTTTCCTTTGCGTTTGACAACCAAAAATGGTCCTTCGTATGGTGGTGTCAACGTTGGACGTAATCTGTCACATCTCAGGAAGACGTGTGAGCAATCCATTAAACGAGGATGTACAAAAATGTTTTTATTTGTACTCTCTCTCTGTGGGATGGCTGCAACTCGGCTAATATTATTTTTAATATCTTTTATGAAGTCAGCATACGTGATTTTCGGCTCATCATAGAAAAAATTTGCCGGTAACTTGATAGTAGTGCCATATACCAGTTCGGCGGCGCAGCAACCAGTATCTTGTCGATAACTTGAGCGTAGTCCGAATAGAACTGATGGCAATTCTTTTGTCCAATTTCTTGTGTTGGCTCTGGCTACTAATGCTGTTTTCATTGTTCTGTGTAATCTTTCCACTTTTGCATTAGATTGTGGATGGTACGGTGTAGTACGGATTTTCTCAATTCCCATCAACTTGGCGAGTCCTCTGAAAACGTCGGACTCGAATTGTCGTCCTTGGTCAGAGGTGATGTAGTCTGGACATCCAAAGCGGCAAATCCATCCCTCGTAGACAACTCTTGCAACAGTTTCTGCAGTTATATCTGCAACTGGAAAAGCTTCAGGCCATGAAGTGCATCTGTCGATTATAGTGATAATATATCGTTTATTTTGCGAAGTAGGTAATGGTCCTACGATGTCAATGTTTACATGTGAAAAACGCGTAGCAGGCAAATATTTACCAAGCGGTGAATTTGTATGTCTGTGCACTTTCGATTTCTGACATTGTAAACATGATTCACACCATTTATTTATATCTGTATTCATGTTTGTCCATATATAATTATTGCCAATTAATTTTCTTGTAGTTTTTTTACCAGGATGACTAAGATTATGGTAACTTTCGAAAATAGTTTTTCTGAAATCTGGCGGCAAGTAAGGACGTACTATTTCAGTGGAAATGTCACAATATATTTTTTTATTTGTATTTGGTACTTGAATTAATGACATACGTAATGATTTATTCTTTTTGAGTTGTTGTAACTCAATGTCATTCTGTTGACTTTTTTCTAAGTCGGATAAGTCGATAACGGTTGGAAGTGATATTGTTTCGATGACTCGTGATAATGCATCGGCAACCGTGTTATCGTGTCCGCTTACATGCTGTATATCTGTACTGAATTGTGATATGAAATCCAAGTATCTGATCCTTCTAGGTGACTCGTCCACCGAAGGTTTCTTCGCAAAAGCATGAGTTAGTGGTTTATGGTCGGTGTATATTGTGAAAACACGACCTTCAATTAACCGTCTGAAGTGTTTTATTGCCATATATATTCCCAATAACTCCCTATCGTAGGTGGAGTATCTCGTTTGAGCTTCTGTTAACGATTTGGAGAAAAATGAAATTGGCTTCCATTCGTTTTTAATTTTTTGGTGAAGAACTGCGCCAACACATTTTAAGCTAGCGTCAGTCATCAATGCGATCCTTGCGTTCGACTCTGGAAACGTCATAGTTGTGACGTCACGCATGTCTTGTTTACATTGTAGAAATGCTTGTTCTGCTTCCGTATTCCATACGATAATTGTTTTATCGTTTTTCTTGCTATTTCTTAAAAATACATTGAGCGGAGCTTGATGCTTGGCAGCGTGTGGAATTAGGTGCCTATAAAAATTCACCATACCCAAATAACGACGTAAATCTTTGACTGTCGTGGGTTTAGGGTAATCGTCGATTGCTTTTAGTTTCTCTTGTGTCGGTTTCATCCCTTGGCTCGTTATATGATAACCAAGAAAATCTAACTCATTTTTGAAAAACTCGCATTTGCTCATATTTATTGTAATTCCATTTTCATTTAAACGAGTAAAAATAATTTCTAAATGTTCGTAATGTTCCTTCTCGCTCTCGCTGGCTATCAGAATGTCATCGACAAATATAAAAATAAAGTCTAAGTCTCTGAATAGCGAATCCATAAATCTTTGGAACGTCTGACCCGCGTTTCTTAAACCGAATGGCATTCTTGTAAATTCGAAAAGTCCAAACGGAGTTATAATAGCGGTTTTTTCTGGCTCTGCAGTGGGAATGGAATGATAAGCCTTCCGGACGTCGATTTTGCTGAAGATGGATTTTCCACTAGCAATATACGAGAAATCCAATAACCTTGGAAGTGGATATCGGTCCGGTACGGTAATATTATTCAATGCGCGGTAATCACCGCATGGTCTCCATTCACCATTTTTCTTTTTTACCATGTGCAGTGGACTAGCCCATGGACTGCTTGATGGTCTGCATATGCCAATTTCTATCATGTCCTGAAATTCCTTTTTGGCAGCCTTATATTTATCTGGAGGAAGAGGACGAGCTCGAGCGCATACGGGAAATCCTTTTGTTATGATGTGATGTTTGATCTTATGCTGTACGGGAATATTCATTGATGTAGGCCTTGTGATTTTTTCATATTTTTCCAAAAGTTGCCTTATAGAGTTAGGCAGTTCGGAGTCAATGGAGCGAACAGAGGGAATGTTTGCTTTGATGAAACTTACAGGCGTTTTGAGCTCTGTAACTTTATCTATTAATCTCTTCCCGTGTATATCTACCAATAAGCGGTAGTGCTCTAGAAAATCAGCGCCTAATATAGGCATTTTGACGTCAGCAATGATGAAATTCCATTTGAAGGAACGTCGTAAACCCAAATTTAAGGTTAGTGTTTTTTCCCCGTATGTCTTTATCACGGTTCCGTTTGCGGCGAATAATTTTAATTCGCTAGCGCTCTCATTGGTCTGTGCTTGCTTTTTGATCACCGAGATATTTGCTCCAGTGTCCACCAAAAATCTATAACCACTGTTAGAGTCGGTTATAGCTAGGCGGTTAAACGGGTGAACAGCACAGAGTTCCGCCTTGTTCTGTGCTGAGCCTAGTTTTCCGACGGCTGTCTTTTATGGTTCCAGGAGCACGGCAGGTCACATTTATATGCCTTTTCTTTAAATCTACGATGATAATAGCAATAATTATTACTCTGTCTATGCGCTGACTGACGGCGTGAATTTGATCTAGATCGGAAATTGCTGCGTCGGTTTATGTGTCGCGATCGATTTTCGCGTAGTGCAGCAACTTCTAATTGCAGCGTCGCGAGTTGTGAAGACAGGTGTGTGACCGTATTTACGTCAGCGGTGCCTGTTGATTGCATTGTTGTATTAAATCGCATATTTTCATGTATGCGATCGGCCATTTCGCTTAATTTGTCCAGCGTCAATTGCTCAGTAACCGCTAAAACGGTTGTGACTGATGGAGGAAGCTGCCTCATCCATAACAGTCGGATGGTATCCTCATTAATTTTCCCGCAACCAGCTTCTCTCATTTTCCTCAATAACTGGGACGGTTTTTGATCTCCCAGGTTCATTTCTGCGAGCAGTTTGTGGAAACGTCTTTGCTCGCTCTCCTCATAACAGTCGATCAATCTGTCTTTAATGACTGAGTATTTATTCTCTGGTGGTGGATTTGTAAGTATATCGCTGACTTGGTGGACGACCTCTTTTGGCAGTTTGGATATTACTGTATTATATTTATATTCGTCGCCTTGTTTTTGAGGTGCGATTATTGCCTCAAATTGTGCAAACCACAAACGTGGCGAGTCTGTCCAGAACTCAGGTAACCGCTCTGTGACGGTTATTGCAGCGATCTCTATACAGCTAGTGGCAGACATGCCCGGTGTACTAGGCATGTTTGTTCCTGTTAATGGCATAGGACGAGCCATTGTTAACGTTGTGATGAGTTGAACAGCTGGCCAGTATTATATGGCGGTCAGTAGTATGGCAGGGTTCCTTGTTGCGCAGTGTAGCCAACGATTTTTGTGCCTCTTGAATTTCCGTACCGGTGAGACCCGCTTCTGGGAAGCCGGTGGAAATGTGCAATCGTTGGTGCTGCGCAGGATGCCGTCAGCCAGAGATCTCTTGCTTGATCTCGTCGTTTTCCCGTCGGCCAGATCACGTCGGGCAGATCACGTCGGGGTCACCACTGTTGCGGGTGAATAATACGATGTTGCTGGTCGAGACGATGTATATTACAGATGATAATAAACTGACAATGTGTACATAGAAATAATGATCTTATATACTAAATAACAATAGGAAAATGTAAGGTGGGGTGACACAGTTTAGATACAGCAGTGCCTAGTAGACAATATTGAATTTGTCTTACTAGACATTATTAAATGCATTTATTATTTTATGTATCTAGGTGACTGTGTCGCGTACCAGTTTTGTAAGAGAACGTTTTAAGGAACCAGTAGAGGTTTTGACCTTGACCACTCGAATTACATACACCGTCTTGACCAGGAAATAACTGTATTATACGTCCGCGACGCCACTCCAAAGGAGGGAGGTTGTCATCCTTTATCAAAACCAATTCATCAACATTAGGAGGATTCATAGGAGAAGTCCACTTATTACGAGTTTGAAGGGTTGATAGGTGCTCTGAATGCCACCGCGACCAAAAATGTTGAGTAATTTGTTGCAATAAGTGAAAGCGTGATATGCGATGCTGCTTCTCGTCTCTCAATGGGTACTCGGGTAACGCAGTAAGGGGTTAACCAATGAGAAAGTGACCAGGGGTTAACACTTCAAGATCATTGGGATCTTGAGATAAGGAACACAAAGGCCGATAGTTAAGTACAGACTCAATTTTTGCAAATACAGTGGTCAACTCCTCAAAGGTAAGGGGATTTTCACCGATTATTCGTTTAAGGTGCGTCTTGGCAGACTTAACGGCTGCTTCAAACAATCCCCCCCAGTAAGGACAGGCCGGTGGGTCAAATACCCAATTTATATTCTTGCGGGTTAGTTGTGAAGCAAGATTATCATGCTTTTGGGACAGGAATGAATCAAGCTCTCTAATATAGTTACTCGCTCCTAAATAATTTCGTCTACAATCCGAACGTATAAGGGTAGGTAATCTGCGACGCGCAACAATTCGGGTAAAGGTAGATAGGAAAGATTCAGTGGTAAGGTCGGATACTACTTCTAAATGTACCGCTTTAGTTGACAGGCAAACAAATACACACAGATAACTCTTTACTATTTTCTTATTTCGATAGGATTGTACTTTAGTATAGAAAGGGCCCGCAAAATCAGTGCCAACACGAGAAAATTGTCTAGCCTAAGTAACCCGGTCCCTGGGTAGATCACCCATAGGGGGGTGAGATACGGATGCTTTAAGGCGGTAACAAGATAGACAATGAAATATTATGTTTTGACTAGCACGTCGGACCGATAATATCCAGTATTCACGGGAAAGGATAGCATGTAAGGCATTAGGACCAGCATGAGAATTTTCGATATGATAATGTGAAATTATTAATTTAACAAGGGGGCCAGATTTAGGTAAAACAAATGGGTGACTAGCATCGTATTGGAGTTCAGAATTGCGTATACGTCCGCCAACTCTGACTAAACCGTTTTCATCTAGGAAACACGACAGCCGTTTTAAAGGGGATTTAATAACATTACCGCATTTTAAGGATTCTATCTCGTTAGAAAATGCATGTAACTGGGTGGCTTTAATAAGCATCAACAAAGAATTACGTCGTTCGTCAACAGAAAGGTAACACGTAAATTAACATTTTTAACATTATAAATAAAACGCAGAATAAAGCCTAACACTCCGACTAGTTTATTTAAGGAACTATACCGGTCGAGGAGAAACGAGAGATCCATAGCTGGCGTAGGTATTTCAATTAACAAACAGCGAAGGCCAGGTAAAGAATCAATAGGATTGTTTGTTAAGTCTGCACCAATAGGCCAATGATTAGGGGATTCTGTCAACCAGGAAGGAGACCACCATAGATCATGGTTAAGAAGAGACGATGCCCTAAGACCTCGGGAAGCGCAATCGCTAGGGTTAATAGAACATGATGCCACTCGGAAGGGAAATCGGATGAGGTGATTTGAGACACGCGGTTTGCTTCGAATGTTTGAAGCAGGTGAGGAGGAGTCTTTATCCATGCCAGCACAATTTTGCTATCCGTCCAACTGTGGATAGCATCGAACACGATTACCTTCTGTAGACAGATGGTAATGTGATGAATTAATTTTGTGAGGAGCACAGCTCCTTGCAATTCCAGCTTGGGAATTGTGAGACGAGTACGGATAGGGGCAATCTTACTCTTAGAAATGAGGAGATGGACGGAGCAATGGCCAGAAGAGGATTCAGTCCTAAGGTAACCAGCAACAGGTCCAGACAACACACAACCAAAAACGGTTGAAAGGCCGGTCAGACCATGAGGAAGAGAAATCGATTTTTCAGTTTGCATAAGATAACCGAACACGTCGGCACCTAACAATACCTCAATAGGCCCTGGTTTATAAAAGGAGGGGTTCGCTACGGAAAGGTGATTAATACTATTAACAACAGGCCTAGGCAACTCAATCTCAGGATGGGGGCCCGCAATTACATCAACATCTACTGCAGGGGTTGTTATAACAGGATACGATCTATGAACTGGTTTAAAGGTAAGGGAGATAGACCCGCGGGAATATACAGATTGAATGTTGGCAATACCGCGAATAGGTACCGAGTTTGATGATAAGGGGACATTCAATCTCTCAACAGCTAAGTCGGTAGTAAGCAGACAACCTTGTGCGCCTGTATCACATAACGCACGGGCCTCTATAAAATAACCATAAGCCGATTTGACATGAATAATGGCGGTAGGTAGGAGGACTAGAGAATTGGAGGGAATAGACATATGTGGTGAGAAAGCAGGTGCAGGGGATACAGGGCCTAGTTATTGGGACGAATTCCGTCTATGGTTGGTATGCATAGAACGGTCGGGGAGGTCACGTGACTTATGGTATGTTTTATCTCGGGTAGTGACCGCGGGGGAGGGGACGCATGACGACAATCCTGTCGCGAGTATGTAGGAGGAGAAGCTCGACGTGCAGGTGATGGCGAATCACAACAGGGAGTACGGCTGTTATAAGGGGGACGGCCCCCGACCGTGCGGGGAGGTGATGTACGCGGTGCACTATGCACAGCAGCATTGCGATAATTTGTATTATTAAGATTCTGATGGTTAGGATAAACAGGATCTCGAGAATTGTTAAAACACAGTAAGGTGTGATGGGAGGACCGAGCACAGACAGCACACCTGTAATCACGTGCGCAATTGGCTATGAAATGTTTATCTAAACATCGATAGCACAGGCCAGACGATTTAATAAAAAAATAAGATCGGTCACGTGGGTTCATATCACGAAATTGGGGACATTCACGTAAATAATGGGAATTACTATTACACATATGGCACTTCTTATTGGAAACTGGTACCTGGGAAACGTAGGCCCTACGCGGGCGGTTAGATTGCTGGTTATGCGAGTATTCAGGCCTTCGTTCAAACGTACGGGAAGTTGGGGCAGAATCTACTAATGCTGCATCACCTACATTATTACGGCTGGCAACGGCAGTGAAATAGGGCAATATAAATAAAAATTACTTACCAAAATTATAGATGTATTTAGTGGTAGCGTATATGACACAGTGTAGCAAAACAATATAATAAAAAATATATGTCAAAAATTGTATATAAAAATATAGGGTTACGGAAAGCGCAGACTTTATTGATCGCACTAAGCGTTCCCACGCACCTTCCATTGATGGTGCCGCTGGACAAATGAAGACCCACTCTATTTCATGGTTGGCTGCGAAGTCGAGAACGTCTGTGAGTTGGTTGGCTGCGCCGACAAAAGCCGTGCCGTTATCTGAGATGATTCTCGCTGGACATCCTCTACGGGCAATAAATCTTCTTAGGGCCATGATAGCAGCATCTGCGGAAAGGCTTCCTACGATCTCCAAATGAACGGCATGGTAAGGCATGTGAATAGAGCTACCCAGCGTTATTCTCGTCTGCGCCCAACGGCTACTTCAACTGCACCGAAGTAATCAAGACCGCAGAAGGAAAACGCGCGCTGATGATGGGATAACCTATCTTCAGGAAGATCACCAAATTGAGGCGTAGATGGGAGAAGTTTCCTAATCCTACAGAAACTGCATTGTTTGGCAACAGACCTGACACTTGGGCGTAAAGCTATTATATAAAATTTGCCGCGCAGGAAGTTAACGACGGTCTCGATATTACCATGACCAAATTTCAGATGATAGTGATCGAGAAGGAGTTTTACAATTAGATGTCGACCGCCTAAGACAATAGGGTTAATGTCCTGCGCGGGAGCATTTAATACAGCACGAATTCTTCCGTTTAAACGGATTAAACCGTCTTCTCCCAACATCAACACAAGACCTCTAAGCCTCCTTTGATTAGTTGGGGGAACACCCGCGGTAAGACTCAAGAATTCGCGTTTAAATGATTCTAATTGAGTATATAAAAATAGGTGCCTCTCGGCCTCCAAGATTTCTGTGGCCGAAAGAGGTTTCAAAACTTTGAAGGAGACCTTAGAGGCAGCACTCTTTAATTTTGAATTTGGAGGTTATTTCAAAAGCGACCGAAATATTTTAGCACAATGATGTGCACGAGCGGTTGCTCTAACCAACCGAACCCAACGACCGAAATGCGTTAACGCGTGTTCGGGTTTTAGTTCCTCAATTACTAGTGGAGCAATGACCGCAGGCTCGCGAGGCCATTCGTCTGGTGGAGACAAAAGAAAATCTGGGCCAGTATACCATCGAGAGGAAGAGGAAAGAGAGTATAGACCGCGTGTAGCATCATCTGCTACATTTAAGGCCGATGGAACATAACGCCAA